GGGCATTTATTCGTGGTGTTTTTTTTTGACTCGAAAGCATGAAGAAATCTTCAGCAGCTGTTAAATGCTGGACCCATCTCAGGAAGGAAAGGCACTTCATTTTCTCAAACACACAATTAAAATTTATTAAAAAAGTACTGAGTATATCCATCTAGAAAGTAATCTATATATGTATATAAGAGCACTTGAGTGAGCTGTGTATGACGGATGCAGTCGATAAGAAATTTTTTTTCGGTGAGTGGATTTGGGAGCTGCTCGTTTTTCATCAAATTTGTTTCATAGGTAGTTCTTTGCCAAAATTGACGTGGGAAACGATTTTTTTCAGGAACAGGCAGCTTTTTGTCTAAAGCCTTTAGAATGATTTGTTTGCACTTTTTCAATTATGAATTGTAAACTCGGATTTTTGATATAGTAAATCTCTGGAAAACTGCTAGTACTTGATAGAATTTGAGGAAGAAAAAAGAAAGAACTCTCACATCTGCTGTATCAGACGCTAATTTTCTTCCTTACTTTTTTTCTAGTCGAATTCAAAATCATTTTCTGGGTATAAATGTGAAACTTTCTTTTTGTCTGCCCTAGCCAAAAGGTTTCTTGCCAAAAAATTAAAAAAAATCAGCAATTCATTGCATAATTCGCACACAAATCGCATTTATTGTACATACTTGAGTGTATGTAAATTTAAAAAAGAATCGCAAATCTCTACCGCACTCCAATACAGCATTTGTAGAATGAAAGAAATGTGCTTGCACTTTCATGTGTATGTCAGTATGCACGAGAATGCATGCATGTAAATGGGAATATTTAGAAATTTATTGCCGCATCAGCGAGTTTAAGCGGCGTGATGCATGCAGCCATGCATAAATACATACATTTCTTTATATACAAAAATACATACATATATACATATATATATATATGCAAAATTAAAGCAAAATATATTTTTGCTTGTTTGTACATACTAAATATATGTATACACTTATTAATAAGCACTACATGCACCCACTTGAGTGAGACCTGCACATGTCGCCGCCGTGTTGTCGAATGCATCATAAAGCGACAGCTCCGTTGTTGCAACATTCTTACAACTAATGGGAGACATGACCAATGAAATGTGGCTGTGAATCGAGTGTGTACATACATAAATTTCTAAGTATACATTAGTTCAAATATATTATATTTGCAGATTTTTTTTATCGCTAAGAGTGTAGCTTAAGATTATTTATTTTTTTTTTTAAGAAGAAAAAAATACTTTAGAAAAAAAAATTCATACGAAGCAACATTTCGGTGTTTCAAATTTACCAAGGCATAGCGTCACACACACACACACGCGCACACAAAAATGTACATATTGTATAATAAATATGTACATACATATGTACCTCTGAGCGCGTTGACGTGCCACAAATGCATGCCGCATTTCACTTTACAGCAATATTAGCCATGAAGCGTAAATTTGAGAGGACAATAGAATATTGCATTGAAATAAATTTAAATTAATTAATTTTTTTTCGTAAGATCTTATTTTTAAATTTATTACCTATAAACATACAAACATACATATGCATGTACATATGTATTTGTTTTAATGCTTAAAAATAAAATTACAAATTATAGTTGTTTCTTGTTTCTTGTAATGGTTTGCCGTTATGAGAATTCACACCTGTGCAGACATACACATATACATTTGTTGAAACAAACCTATGTACATACATCTCAAATTTTGTAATGTAAAATTTTGTTTGATTGTCTGTTGCACTTTGTAGCTGCTCTTGCAGTTGCCTGCCTTTGGTCACCATTTATATTGTATTTACATACAATAAATAAAAAATATTATTTATATGCAAACGTATTTACGTATATATTATATGTTCATTTAATAAAATGTTTGTTGACAAAAAAAAATTATAAATTGAATTATTGCTGCTTTCGGTGGAAAACACTTATAAAAATCAGAAAAAACTATTCCCCTCTTGCTTTGGCCTCGAACCTTGGCATTAAAATCAAAAATATGCGAGTATAAATACAGTTAGGTTTGCATTTTTGTATGTCTTAATAGTACATATTTAGGTAGACGACTCAATACATTTGTTCATTACATGACAACAGACAACTAAAAATTTGAAAAATTTATAATATTTAAAGGCTTTCATCATTAAGTCACTTAAGTTTATTCAACAGGTAGTTTTTGGTTAAAATAATTTATTTATTTGGTTATCACAATATATGAGTTTTAAGCCGATTTTCGCAAAATTTTTAAATTTATTGTTATAATTGATTGGTTCGAGTCCCGACTAATACGATTATGTAAAAATATAAAAACCTAGAGGACATATCAAACTTTGCCTCGACTCAATTCCATGCCTTTAGACTAACTCTAGTGTGATAAAAACACATGCATAGATATTCAAATCCCAATGTGAACTATTTCAATGAACTCTAAATCAATAGCGTGTGTGCATCATTGCTTTGCATTGCATCAGCATAAGACGACTGATGGTAAATGAGTTGAAATGGCGTTTACAATACAGCATTGGATCAAACTCATGACGCATATTTTGTTGTATTCATAGTACTAACATAAATCGTATGAGGGTATGTGCGTTGCGTTATGCTAGCATACGAGGACTGATAATTCTCTCTCAGTACGTTAAATAGGCTGACTTCCAAAACATAATTCGCGAATGTAAAAAGTTAACAATTCCATATAGCTGTAAAAGTATTAATAATCGAATGCATCACTAATAAAGTAGACACATTAACATACATATGTATATGCAAGGTTTATAGAATACAAGGTTAGGACAACCGTTGACGTCACCGAACGAACTTCGTCATATATACAGCGGGCGAGACTTGATACATAGCTCATCAAAGAAAAAAAAATTTTTTTACTTTAAAGTATATATACATATGTATGTATCACATGCTATGCTTATAAAATAGTTACTGGACTGGATTAATACCAAAATTTCAAGTTTTCAGCTCAAAAAATTTAATCACAAAATTCATAAAACAATTAATGAAGTTGCTGTAATATCGCATCTTAGTTTTAATTTTTCAGAAAATATTACACACTTTCAAAGCAAATTCACACGCAGTTGTAACAAGAATGAAAAACAAAATTTTTATGTATTTTGTTTGTGTAATCATAGTTTCGAAAATTCAAAAACAAAAATCATTCATTGTTTATGTAAATGAATGTTCGAAATGTCAAAACATATTTCTCATGTATTTTGTTTGTGTAATTTGTTGAAATGGGAGGAAGAATAAGCAATCATATGGTTTGACAACTTCACCTTCAATAAATTCGCATTTGCACACTTTTTCACCGCTTCGAATTTTCAAACACGATCTTCTCACATGATAAACATCACCCATTTCCTAAAAGCTTTACAGCCGATAAAGAAAATATTTGCACGTTCGCTTGGAATTTCGATAATTTTTAACGTTTTTGACATTATTTCCTCATGCTATTCGTATTACATGATATCAAATGTTAGAGTTTTGTTAAAAAATAATATTAATTTTCAAAATTAAATTTTTTTTTGGAAATTAAAATACATTTGTTCTATATAAAACTATTCAGAACGTTTTAGTTGTGATTGCAATTATTTAAAACTAATTTTAATACAAGACGTTAGAATATTATAGAAGAATTTTTGCGTTGTTTTATAGATAAAATTATGAAAATTTATTTTAAAATTTTCGGCAATCAACAATATTTAACCAACTTGGTCATTAAACATATGATTTTGCTCTTGTTGTAACTTTCTATTCTATAAACCTTGACATATGTAAAGTGGGATTTTTTAACTATTATCTATTTTGGCTACACTGGTCTTAACAGCCGACCGACGTTTCGTGTTTTGCATCACTGTCAGACGTCTTCAGTTTGGTCTATAATTTAACCACGAATCGTCTTACAGAGGAACAAAGCTTGCTTCAAGAGGAGTTTATGGTCCAACTACTCAACCAAATGGTAAAGCTTTAAAGAAATTTGAGGAGAATGAAATGGTTACAGATATACAATAGTTAGGCTTGTACGTCGTAGCTTTATTAGCTTCTGCTGAAATATGGGTACTGTAAGAGGCGCGAATGTGTCTATTCTTCAAAGTTCCCAAGAGCTGGGACTGTCTTACATTATGTCGACTTTTGCACTTGGACTTAAACCAACATCCAAGTCCAGCTCATGCTACCACTGAAGCCAGCAGACCCTTTACAACGTGGTGCACTCGTCGACTGGGTGCTTGAGCAACACATTGAAGATGGCAATTTTTCGAACAAAGTTTTCCGCGACGAGGTACATTTCTTACTTGGGAGACGCGTAAGCTAAGTTGTCACATTTGAGTTTTCGATAATCCTCAAATAATTGAAGATAGATCTCTATATTATGTAATATTTATTTTATATTATTGGTGCTGAAGCAATTTTCGACCGAGCTCACCCTCAAATTTGTGGTAAGAGTCTTGATTTTCCTCCAATAAATGAATGGATCTACGCCTTATACTAAGTCGCAGCCGAGCTGCTGATGATTTTTATGAGGACCTTTTATTTGATGTCAGAAATGCACATGGATTACCAGACGTTTTTATGGATTTTATCGACGTTTTCTTTCGGAACAGCAAGTACCCACTTGCTTGACCAAAAAAAAAGAAGAAAAAAATGAAAAAACCAAGGAAATATCGTGTAGAGGGAAGTATGTAGAGGGAAATATTTACTGTTTTGAAAAAACTAAAATCAGCAGAATTAAAAGTTTCAGAAATGAGATAAGCCAATCTTCAATCAGTTCGAGTAGCGAAACTGAGTCTAGCTACAAAACATAACTGCGGTAACGAAAGAGCCAAGTAATGTTCGAAGGAGAGTTGCTTTGGAGCATTTACTGTTCTTTACATAGAAGCGGCTGCTATTTGAGGAAGGCACGACGGCAGAGGACACACGTACATATGACTTAAAATATCTCTGCAAATAATTTACAAATTAATGGGTTAATAAAGAATTACCATTGTTGAATTGCCCATTGTGTGTGTGTTAGTTTTCCTCCTTTGTCTTCTGCTAAATACGAAATGAAGCGAAACACGCAATGAGATGCACTTGTCAGGCAATAATTAGCAAAGCCAAAATGCAAATTACACACACAATCACACACGTAAGCTACAAACTGCAAACGCGTAAACGGAAATTAATGAATTTTGAAAAATCTGCTCGCAATATATATGTATAATCGAATAAAATATACACTAATTAACTAATTAATATTCGTCAAAAATGATGGATTTATTATCGCGTGAGCTTAATGAATCTCCGAGGTTGCGAATTTTTTCTACGTTTGCGACAGGAGCAATGGCGCGTGTGATGGACGCTCGGCGTTTGGCGTGAATGAATTTGAACGCTTCCCGTTTTGAATCGGTGACAAAACTAAACTGGATGCTAAATGGAAGCATTGCGGCAATTGTCCACGTCAAAAGCAACGTCACACTCACACATACACACAAACATAAGCACACGTAAGTAAATAAATTAGTATTAGAAAAATATTAGAAACAAAAAAAAATAAATAACAACAACTACACCCACAATATGCACAGTTAGACGTAAAAGCGTATCTGCTTAAAGTCCATTGCTCTCCCGGGGTCTTCATCTTACCAGATTTGTATAAGTATTGGTTGTTTATGGGTATGCGTAGCTTTTGCCAAAAAGTCAGGTTGCCCGCTGGTCGCTTGGCTGGTGGCTGGTGGCCGGTAGCTGATGGTATTGCCTGCTGCTGGTCGGTTTGCCGCGTCTGACATTTGAAATGTTTGCTTTTGGAAATCTACTATAAATCTCATTAAAATACCATTCATTTTGGCTAAGCTCCGACAATAACAACAGTAACAACACCAACAATGCTTTTATTTGCTCTTATAAATATTCATACTGAAAATTTGGAACTCAAAGCGACTAAAATAACAACAATAAATACAAACAACGGAAACCAGAAACCGCAAAAAAGTCAGCAAGCGCACACACATACTTCATACTTATCTATGTGCATATGTATTCTTTTTCAGCGTGTACATTTATATACACGTATGTATGTATTTCTTTATGTATAAATGTAAAAAAGGAATATATGTATATAAATGTGAATTTTAGAACCAATAATTTCCAATCAAGTTCAAATTTTATTATAATAAAATAAATGACGTAACGAATATATTACTTACAGCAACGTCGAAAGATCTCCAGGTCGGAAGTGATGGAAATAATGGTTCTTTTGATTAATTGATTGGAAAGCTCTTGTGCACCCACTTTGTAGTCTAGATCTTGCACGCAGTGATTATCAGCTGTTCCTGTGATTTGGCTGATCAAGAATTTGTCTCAAGAGAAGTCTGTGAAAATCGATTGTCCCAACTTCTTTCCAATCGGATTTCTATGAGAGAGACATGATGACATTCCCTTCAAAAAGTTATCGCGGAAAATTGAATTAAGAAAAAAATTTGTTCTTTCGATAAATTCGAATATCTAGCACCGTTGACAGAGGTGATGTTTTTTTGACTTTTCCTCATCTGTGTCCCTGCGGTCACCGCCTAAGCCATTTGAGAAGCAGCCCATCCCTTGCCTTTAGTGCCCATAAAACAGTGTCCGATTACTACGGCGATTGTTATGCTTCTGGAGGTCGGATTTAGAAAGAGTAGAGATTTTGTTCCATTTATTTCAAGTCACGTTTGACTTGTTACATTGCACGTAAATTCGGTCTGTTATCTGCTATTGGCTCCTCCGGTGAAGACCAGCCTTAGCAGATACCTTGGCGAGGAAAGAGAGTTTACCATGGTGAGGATTGCTTTCTTTTTGGCCATTTTGCCGGCAATGTAGTTCCCTGGGATGTTCCTGCGACTAGGGACCCAACCCACTGATGTTTGGCATAAACTCGAGAGTTTTTTTTTTAAGATTTATTTGCATTTTATTGCCTCTTTTGAGGGGATATAATTTCATTGGAGAGACTTAATGGCAGCTTTACTCTCAGAATATATAGCAAACTGTTCAGAGTAAATTAAACAACATATTTTGCTGTATAGCTTAGAGCCATCAGTGAAGATGGCTACGGATCTGTGATCTAGAACAGCAACATTTTCTCATGCGTTCTTCTCTGGGATAGTTCACCACACACGAGAGTGATGTGGAGTTTGTTGTGATACACTTTGTTTCATCACTTGCTTGGAGTTTCCCGTATAGATCTGCAATAAGAAGATTCAGTAGATTCGATTTTAAAGGAGCGCAATTAGCTACTGCTTACAATGGCTCATAGTAAAATTTTCCCAGCGTTTGTTAGTAGATTTTAATTATATCTGCTTATATATTGATATACGTGCGTGTTTATATGTATATTTATATACAGAAATCTGAGTGTAAATATATAAATTTATATGCGCGCACGAGTATTTAATTTTAATTTTATTGGTCATTAACTGCTTTCATTTGAAATTGGCCATCGGATGATGTGTTAAGAAATATATACTAACAGCTGAAATACTCATTACTTGGGTATAATTAAAACAATTAACGTTTGATATACCAAGCAATAATTCATACCAAGAGAATTCGCCTGCTTATTCTGGTTATGCGAATCGGGCATTGAAAGCTCGGCGTCTACTGCGGCGAAAGGCTTCACGACGTCGAATATATCAAGTAAAACCAGGTTTCTCTTTGTTGCTTCAATTATATCAGCAGGAAAGAGTCCTTGGTTCGCTTTTCGTCTTGCCGACAATACTTCTGGACTTATTACTGTGTGAAACACACTTTTCTTATTAATATATTATTACGTAAGCTAAAAGCCCAAATCTCGAATCTAATTATTAATAAATCATAGACTGAATGAATCAAACGAAACGCCAGATAATTTATTTAAATAAATCTAACTTGCTGAGTTGCCCGAATTTCCAGATGATTCATTTCCAAACCATTGGTCTTGAGGCTTTTACCTACTTCACTGAGATAAAGGTCTAGTAAGAACTAATCCATGAAGATCTAGTAAGAACTAATCCCTTATTTTTGGATTAAATTGAAGGTTTTATTTATCATAGTTAGAATTATTCGATTTATGTCAAATATGCGTAATTTTGATCATCAAAAATTAGTACAATCGATCTTCATATGCTTTTCTTGAGGCCAATTCTTCATAAGCCAACTCAATCGCTTTAGACAGATACAGATGATAGTCGGGACTAAAAAAGGTATGTATAATGACCATCCGCCTTTGGCCATCCGTTTCGCAAATGGGTCGATTTTGTTACGATTCTGCAGCGATTCGTAGATGAAAGTTCGGTGCTTGAGATTTTTTCTCTTTATCTCATGTGACACGCTTACATTGAGCTCCTTGGTAAATCAAACCATTTTCGAGTGGTTCAAAACTGTTTTTCTGTGAAATGTTAATCGGAACAGCGATCGCATAATGATCAGACTCAACGATTTCTATTAGTTTCTCGCTAAATCACTAAATGTATTGCAAAAATAATAGATTAGTACGAGTAGACATAATATTTTGTATTAAGTAACAGTTTTTGAACGTTAATAAACGAATATTTAGCAGAATTATATAATATAACGAAGAATGGAAATTTAATAACGAGAATTGGATAAATTTTATATAGTTAAGAATAGCAAACGAAGCAAAACAGTGGATGTTTAAAATTCTCAAACAATTTTCAAAATTTTTCCAGATGAAAAGCGAGAGAGAAAGAGAGAGAGAGAACGTTATGCGAGAGAGAAACGTTTCGTTCTATCTAAACATTAAAAAATATAACTCAGAAACCATTGGTTCGATCCCTGCCAAAAGAAGTCTGATGAGGAGATATGAAGATCTCCGAAAAAGCTTAATTTATTTTGCTGTGTAACAAAATATTCAATTCATACAAATAAATACACTTATAATAAACAAATACAGAGTTTAATAACTATCTTTTTGTTTCTTAATGGATTAGCTCATTTGTTAAAATAATAATTAATTTTTTTTTTAATTTTTTTTCGGAAAATAGACAATAAAAGCAGGTGTGTTTCGCTAAACAATACATTTTGATTTATTTATTACTTTCAGCAAATTAATTTTATTGCATTTTAGCGGTTTTTTCACAATCAAAATCTAAATACTTTATGTCGAAATTCAAATTTATTATCAAAGAGTGTTTGTAAATTTATGTTTGCAGTGAAGAGTGCTATTTGCATTTGAAAATTTGAAAAAAAAAAATTAGGGCTTGCGGAACAACTGGTAAAAATATAATTTTTGCTTTCAAAATATTAAAAAATTTTTGGAAAACACAAGTAGTGAAAGAAAAGAATTTAAAATGCTCTAAACGCAAATATTTAAAGCAGCGTATATTAGTGAATGAGCTACAGACAATGCACACAAAAACGTTTTGAATAACAAATTGGCATGTCAACAAAATATTGCACGCTTAAAACACAGCAGAACCCAGCAGAAATTTTGCTTGGGTTTAAATTGTATATATTTTTTTTTTAATGAAAAATTCTTTTGTGGATTCACTTGGAAGTACTTAGTTGAGGGAGAAAAATTAATTCATGAACGATTTTCATTAATAACTGTTATCGTTTAAGCACTTTTCTATTTTTTTACGTTTATTACAAACGAAATGTCTGTCATCCGGTAGCTACTAATGCCACACACTACCTGTTAATTTTTCTACAGCACGTGTATAATGGTTTAGTGACATGGATTAATATTTATGAAAATTGTTTAAATATTTCAAGTTTGATTTCAATGTCAGCATTTGAGCATTTGACGAATGTGCACAAAGTGTAGAATTCTTTTTTTTTCTGGTGCTTTCTTTTTGCAAATATAGCCGATTTACGATTTTCTAGTAGCTTTCCACTAAAAGAAAAACTATATTAGCAAATAGATAATTTACTGCAAATATAAATAAATAAGCATACACATACATGTATATAAATATGTTAAATGAATTCGAAATATTGCTAGAGCTACTTATAGGAAAGCTGTATGTATAAAAATTTTTAATTGTTTAATCTTTTCATTTTTAAAAATTCAAAAACGTCCAAAAAATTGCACTTGACCGACCATTTGTTCAAAAAAAAAAAAAACACGAAAACTAAGTAGGCAATCCTAATAACCCAGAAAAACTTGATGTATGTGCATATACTATGTACATACATATGTACTATTTAGATATTTTCGAACTTTATAATTGTTCAATTCAGTTCGTTGGTCTGTCTATTTTTGTTTCAACTGCAATTTGGTTATACAACACACACACTTTTGTATAATAAATACATATGTATATATCTGCTGCATGCATTTTGTTGTAAACATTGCACTTTTTGGCAACAGCGGCCCTCTGTAGTGCATTTTATTTTTTATTATTACTATTATCTCAGCCGGTCTATGACAATCTAGTGGTTTTAGTAATCTTAGAAACATACGTACCTACATACATATGTAAATATCAGCATATACATATATGTATATGTGACAGTGTTTTCTTGTTTTCTAGCTGTTGTTCAGCCTTTGTAGTATTTTATAAAATAAATACCTTCGCCATGTGTGTATTGGCTCAGATTTCCTTTTTTTCCTATTTGTTTTTAATACACGTTCTTGGCAATGCCTTTGAGTGGAAACAAACAGTTGAAAGAATGGAAAGTAAGTACGAAGCGAAATTGAATTTTCCTGTTTATTAGAAATGTCAGAGAATATGTACATATAAGTTTTTATTATTGTTGTATGACGAATTATCTCATTTGAAGTAGCAGAAATAGAGGAAATTCATATTTTTTTTTTAATTTTTACTGCTTGTTAATATTTTCAAAAGTGGAAAAAAATTATTTATCTACATATATATTTACAACGCTCCGTTAGGCGATATAATTAAGAAAATTCAAAAAAAAAAAAAAAAAATCACTCTGCCGCTATTAATGCCACCCACATCTTCATGTTTAAGTTTAAATAGATTTTCCTAAGTGTTTTTAAACCTTTTACTTTTCAAATGACGGCAAAATAATAAATTACATGGCTGTCAGATGCCTAGGAAATTGTTAAAATGTGTTAAAAAAAATCAAAATAAATAAAAAATATTTGCAATAATAATTTACGCGACAACAAAGCCCATAAGAACTAATTAAGTCAATAGCATTCTCATTTATGCGACATTTCGGATACAAATAATCAAGACAAAAAAAAAAAAAATTGAAGAAACTTTCGGCTAAAATATTTAACTATACTCGTATACATACTTATATATAAAAGGGGATTAACAAAAGTTTGGTCAGTTGCTGACTTTCAATTTGTATTTGTTAAATCTAAAAATATCGAAACCTTTGCAATTACTTTGTTAGTCCTCCTTTCAAATCTTAAAACGATCGGCTAAAATGGAAACGACCACCACCAACTTACGGGAAATTCGCCAAGTGATTCCCTCCGAGTTTCGGCGTAATTTACAGCCAATGCAAATATTCAATGAATGCCAACTTGTATAAGGAACTATTGCAGCGTCTTTAAAGACTATTTTTAAGTGATTCTAAAGATTCCAGACCAGATATATTTCCGCAGAGGACGAGCTGCGAGAAGGTCGACCAAAATCTTTCACTGATGACATGACTGTAGCTCTGATGAAGTCCAAACTTGACGAAGACCAACGATTGACACAAGAAATGATTGCTAATGAGTTGGGCTTGAATGCCATGGCTATATCGCGAATATTTGGTAAGCATCTACCAGCAGCGTTGCATGAAAAAAGTTTAGGAAGACCGGCATTAGTGAGACATTGAAACACTTCATCTTTGTCTGATGTGTTTTATAAAGGAAAAGATTTAGAAAATCTGATGATCAGCTATGTATTTAGAAAACTCGAAGGTATTAAAACAAATGAGCGCAAAGCAAGTCTAAGCGTTGATGTCCTAAGTTACGACTACGTCAGCTCCAATTAAATTGAACCCATGGTAACCATTTTCAGATTTTTGCTGAAATTAGTGCTCTTTAGAATATTTTGTTAATTTCCTTGACGGGTGACTCGTCTTATCTGAGCTGAGACTGGTACTGCTAAGGAGAAAAAAATTGCACACAAATTAGTTAAGAAATTGATCCATCTGCGACTCGCTGCAGAATCATAAAATAAAAACTCATAAATGAAGTGGATGGAAACTAGCAACGAAAAGTAGATCACTAGCAGCGACGTAGTGGACGAAGAGCAGTGAGCCGTAACAAACAATATTCAAGCCAACGTTGACGGCCAAAAAGGTTTTGTTGTATATTTGGTTGCTATTGGTGAGGAATCATCCACAGTGTACTGTTCCCCTCTGGTCAAACTCTTTATTCTGACCTATCGGGTCAGCAATAGGACCGTCTGAAGGAAAAAATCACCCAGAAGTGCCCAGCTTTAACCTACAGATGGGGAATTGTTTTCATCACGACAACGCCGGCCCATACAAATTACAACCGCGGAAGCGATCTTCGACCGAGTTCCTTCTAGAATGTATGGTTTTGCGTCATGATGTGTTTGCAACAAATGGAGGTCCCTTCAGTTTATATTAAGCCGCCTCTGAACGGCTGATGGTTTCCTTTATGGGCAGCTTCTGATTTTCATGTCAGAAATACGCTCAAAAGTGTTGCCATTCCCTGCCGAGGAGCGACTGCAACAAGGTAAATTTTACTTGATTTTTTATTAAAATTAATTTTCTTTAACTTTTTGATGTTGGTTGTATCAGGATTTTAAAGGCAGTACGCAAGGCTAACCATTCTGCTAGCGGTTTCGATGAATGCGATGCTTTTTTTTATTATATACTTTTGTGGCTTTTTCCTTGTCCAATTCCCAACAGCTGCCATCATAATATATTTCACTAAATATATCCAACTATGTGTGTATGTGCTCAAAGCTGAAGTTTTTTATTTATCAAAATTTAAAATAATATTTAAATAATAAATAAATGTAACTAAATTTGTATGCATCTTTATTTACTCGAATTTGTCTACAAAGATATGATTTCGCTGAGGAGATAAAAAAGTTGGGCTTTTAAATAAAATTTTTGTAAATATTTTTGTGTGCATTGTCTTAAAATAAACTGCGCTTCCAGCTCCTTTTATCTGATTACTTTTCGCTTTTTGCGCAGACCACTTCAGTGCTTCCTCAGTAGGGTAATAAACAGCGCTTTCATCAGTAGACCAAAAGCGCTTGAAGTGAACGGCCGTAAAGACTCTATTATCAAAACACAAAAGACGTGTAAATATAGAAAACAGAAGTAAAAAAGTAACATGAGAACTAAATTTGTTTTGGTATTCGCGCTCATTGTTTGTGTACTCAACGGTTTAGGTGAAGCGCAAAGACCAGGTTAGATATCATTGCAAAGTTTAAAAGTTAACGATGATTATATATTTGTATTCAAAAAAAGAAAAAAATACAAATATGTATTAAAATATGTGATTATTTATTTTAGCACATTGCTTACAACCACATCCACAAGGAGTTGGCCGTTGTGATATGCTTATCAGTGGTTTCTTCTATAACTCGGAGCGTAATGAGTGCGAGCAATGGACAGAGGAGGGCTGCCGTGTGCAGGGTGGGCACACATACGATTTCAAAGAAGATTGTGTAAATGAGTGCATTGAAATTAATTAATATTTTCTGATTATTAAATAATAAATTATAAAATTAAACTTATGTATAAGTTTTCATATTTTTTAAAATACAAAATAATTTTTATTAAATATTATAAGTTTATTACGCACATATATACGTATATAAATATTTATTTTTTTAAATACATATATATATGTAAAATTTTTAGACACATTTGTACGTATGTACATTTATCTGTAATAAATGTCTCACATAATAAGCAATGAATGCGCTGCCTACAAGAAAATAAGTTTGGCACGCGATTCAATTCACGCGACTGACAAATTCAAAATTGTAAAAAAATAATAAAACATAAAGCATGCGTACATTAGTGCGTTATATACATATGTAAATACGTACACATGGGTGTATTTGTATATACTTAAAAGCATGTTTATTTATGAGCACTTTTGTTTATATACACGTACATATATACTCGAACATTTAGTTGACTGAGTACTTGAGGCAGTAATCTAGTCGATTTCGTGGTAGATTTATTTATGTATATCTGTATGTATGTAGCTTTGTATGTACATATGTGTTTAAAACAAAAATAGAGTATCTACGTATGGCTCATAGATTATTTTCGAATTTTACGAGTATGCACAAAGAATAGCTGAGGCGACAGACAGAGTCACAGATAGACAGACACAAGGGCCGACAGTCAGCGAGCACTGCCATAGAGTGCCAATAGTTGGATTTAAATATGTTTATATACGTACATGCATACATGAATTTAAATACGAGGATAGACACGAAATTTCGTTAATTATAAAATTTGTAAGGGAAATAAGAAATATTCCAAAAAGCAAACTCAGAGTGCATTTATTGAATATATTTTATTGTTATTCTTTTTCGAATATAATATTCTCTCTTTGATCTTACAGTGAGCCAAAACGCCACTCTATCCATTTTTTGCAGCAATATTTTACTTAGATCAAATATATATATTTTTTTAATGAGATAAATTTGCCTTGGTAAGACAGTAAGTCGTGCCATCACCAAGGACTATTTTTCTTCTAACGATGCCAGAGGAAACGGTGCCGAACATGTAATCTGCAAATGACCTCGCTGGCAGGGCGAGAGAATCAAGACTGGAAATGCAGTTGGAGAACTAATTTTGGAAAATTTTATCTAAATCATGCTACAAAGCAAAGTAAAATGGGTAAACGTAAGGAAGTATCAAGAAAAAGGCGAGACCTAACTGCAGGTGACGAGTAGAAATCGCACTATGAGAAAAAGGAAACGCCAGCCTGAAGTAATGCCAAAGGGGTTCCAGGGTGAATGAGGAGAGTTTCTTAGCGTCCGGCAGGTAGCACATACCATTTATGTGACGGCACAATAATGATAAGGAAGTCATTTTGTTTTTTCTCATCCGAAAAAAAAATCTTCCTCCTCTGGTACTTACATACTTCGGCCAAATTTAATGGATCATAAAATATATAAAAAAAGGAATTAAGAAACCGACACAAAGGTAAGAAATACAGGTATACAGAACAAAGAACAGTTTTTCATCTTCAGTTTTGAGAACACTTACTTGCTCGGTTTATTGATTTCCAAGGCGTCTAGAAAGCTATTGTACTGAAGAATTGTCTTTTCCCTATGATTAGTATACTTTTCGGGAAAAATTATTTTTTACTAAGTTTCGCAGAACTCGAGGCACCTTTTTATGGAAGAACAGTACTTTAGCGGCAGCCCAACTGCTTCATTTATATAAAATAATTTCTATTTGATATAAAACCAAAAATGTGTGCATTTTATTAAATAAAAGACAATATAATTGTCATAAAGAAGTACACTAAAGATTTCTTTTCAACAAAGTTTCCTAATAAACTGTCATGCGTTCACTACATCAGCCATAAGTACACAATGTCAGCATTCTAAGCATTGGACTCTGTTTCTCCACTCATCACAGTGTTTTTCTTTATTTTGAGCTCAGCACGATATGTCTTACGATTCAAACCCAATTCTTTTAAATGCTTGCGCAATTTCCTGCGTGTATTCTTATTTTTCCTGATCTGTTCTTTCTTCTTCGTAATTTTCGGAGATTTTTTCTTAATACTTTGCTTCGCAAGCGGCAAGCGAAAGGAGCCAGAAATACCAAAACCTTTCGTACGTATAAGTTCACCGCTCTCAAGAGAGTTTTTAATATATTTCTTAATGAAGCGAAAACGATTATTTGCATTCGTAAAGCAATCATTATAATTCTCTTCGATATATTTTCGTATAGCCTGTAAGGACACGCCTACACGTGGATTACGCATTAACGTAGTGATGGCGCTTTTTACCATCGTCTTCGATGGCACCGAACGTCGTTTATACACACCATTCTTGGCTATGGTGCGGATACGCATTGTAGGTGATCTTGGCATAAATGGGCCGATTTGCATGTAGTTATCGGTGAGTGTATTGAATTCTTCCTGCGTTGCGGGGGTTGGAAAGAAGTTGGATTTAAAGCGACTGATGTTTTTTTTTCTTTTTCTATGAAGCCTAAAGCTTAGTAACTTACCATTCGCTTTCTATGTAGTTCGACGAGCAAAATCTTAAGAAATATATGTATGTGTGTATGTCAATGGAAACAATCCAATAAAAAGTTTCGTAGAATCCCTTTAAAGCTGTTGCTTGTTCTGAATTGTTTCCCACAAAACTTACTTTTTTAATTGTAGTAAATTTGTGTAAAAATAAAATATTTTTGTGACATAAAAGAACTTCAAAGAGGTGCCAGTGTATATTGTAGCAAGTGTTTGGTCTGTGAGTTTGGAGTTGATGTTTCTTATGAGCTTTTTTAAGAACACGCTGTCTTCTCAGCAGTTTTACTGAGAACAGAGTTTACACCTAATTTACGAAAGGACAAAAAATATTCCAGAACTGCTTTTGGTCTTTTAAAATTTTTTTAAATATTATATTATATTTGTTATTAGAATAATACACAAGTTAATGTTAGTCTAGAACATTGATAGATTTTTACATAGAAGACTATGGGAATTTTTCACCATAATATATTTACTCTCTCGATTTAGGGAAAAATATTACTGGTACGTTGGTTCTTATTCTCACGAATCCAACATCAAATAAATGGTTATGTTTAATCTCAGGTTAAATAAAGGGTTTTCCAATATTGATATTTTAAAGAAAATTTTTCCTTAAAAGATTTGATAGTTACGTTGCTTGTGTGGTATGTAGCGCCCGATTAATACCATCCAACTCCGAACTTCCTTAAAGTCCAATAGCACATTTTCCCGAACGCTCCAAACAGTTGCTCGTTGAGAATGGAGAGGCCTTTCAACAATATACTGTGGATTTTTCGCACCCCAGAAGTTACTGTTTTAGCTTATTGACGTAGCCTTCGAGATGGAAAGCTGATTTTTTCGATGACATTTTTGTGAAATTGAAGTAAAAATTTAATCATATGTATTCGTTGTTGAGGCGTGTGTCATGTGTCGTGTAATTTTTATTAGTGACGTAGATTTTATATGTCAAATGTCAAACATTTACAGCTTCAAAAGTGACATGTACCGGAATGGGGCAGGCTATTCAATATAAAACCTCATATGGAAAATTTTTTAGTTCATTATAGTTTCGCCGCCATCTAATCGACTTTTGGAAAACGATTAGCCACAAATGTCGATGTAATGCTGGGATTTCGTTTTGGCAAAGGTGGTGGTGAACATGGACTCATTGCATATGGATTGGATACACAGCGATCATCGCCATTGACAGGCTTATACTGCTTTGGTAATTCATATTGATCATCGATAGCTGAAAACGGTGGCGGCGGTGCAAAGGGACTGTCAAATAGAGTGGAAGATGATTTGACGCTAGACAAACGTTCCAAATTATAATTGGATACACTGAAGGGTGGTGGTGGTGGCAAGCACATGGGCGGTGTTTCCGAAGTCGATACAGTAAGTCTGGAAATAAAAGATATAAATTGTTATGCAATTTGCAATAAATGTAAACTCGATGCAGTGTTTGATTTGCTTTCACTTGTTTGACCCCTCGTAACAATTTCAGCTCGCTAGACATTGCTAGAATTTTTCCCTCACTACAATTCCCATAAACATATTCTTTTGAGTAAGAGATTAAAGTTGATTCCATAAAATAAAGCTTGAACTACCTAGAACAGACCAATCTCGAATATATACAGAAAAAGAAATTAAATCTTATTTTTACATTATAAAAGTTTTAAGAATGAGGCGACGAACGAAAGGTTTCAAGACCGTTGCATACTAAAGAGGTGATCGAGCGACTATGCCACATTTCTCCAGCCTGCTGAATGACAGTGAAAGTGAAACGCCATGTTTAGCCAAACCCTATTTCCCGAACGATGAAGAAGTTCAAATTACAATTGGTCGTCTTAGAAACAATAAAGCAATGGGAGCAGAGTGAAGAACTGACTATATGCATTTTTGAGCTTCTGTGCATGCATGACAATATGAACCTAAGTGTGGTCTGCCAGTGCACAAAAATAATGTATCCAAAATCTGCGCCACTAAGAGTGTCAACATTTTCCTCAACATAGAACATGTTGTGGCTTCAGATTTGTAAAATCTATAATCTAAATCCAAAGTTAAATGTTCAGCATGCGACAATTTTTTGAAACAAAGATCGACATGATTTTAAAACAAGAAAATGGGTTGCCCTTACGTCACTGGTGTCACCAAAAAAAATTGATACTGCTGTGTGAACTGATCATCAGAATCGGAAAGAAAACATTCATGTTGCTCGATACTGAAGTAAGCTTCAGACAGGGATACTCTTCACCATATGACTTCTTCAACTAAAAGCTGCAGAGCTAAGTTGGGCAGGTACAATCTATTACACCAACGGGCAACTTTTGGCATAACCGAGTTTGGCATAACGAGTACACTGCTTACCATACTGCTTACTACAGATTCGATACGGAAGCGAATCAAATGGCGCTGATAATGAACGAAGTTAAGAAAATAGATCACGTTCGAAGTCATAGATAGTATCAGCTATATTGAAACCAACATCAACACCAACTATCATACCAACCTCGGTATTCAACTCTGGCTACTCACTCGGAACAAATATCAAGTCATTGCCCAATGATTCCGTCATTTTATATGATGATGCGGAAGTGTGAATTGTCGTAATATTTGTTGAGTTAACTTTGGGAATATTCAAGAGAAAGTTTTTTGTTTTTCGATTTACGAACTATAAACCATTGCATGCTGAAGATAGTGAACGGTAGAACGATGGGAATGATGAGGAGATACACCAAAAAAATTCATTGAAACAAAAGATAGTGGCAACGCTGGCTGCATCGTCATTCGGGATGAATAAAGCAATAACAATAGTCAGGCCGAGTACTTTATGTCAGAGGCATGCGATATCATATTTTACAGATTGAGAGGATTGAGTGGAAGGCAAAGTAAACATAAATTGTAAAGGTCTAGTAGGACTAGTAAAAAGTTATCCAGTGCGACTGGATTACGTTAGATGACATTAGAAAGATAAAATTTTGTACTAGGAAAGATACGGAGGGCTGTAGTGATCACTGAACTCCGTACTGTTGGAGTGCATGACGAAAAAAGAAGACAACAGAGGGACAATGCGCTTTATTCTATACCTATCTTCAATAAAGGCGAAAACGCAAATCAGGCAGCTGAAAATTTGAATGGCTTAGGGTTTTAGTACTGTAACAGTCTATCATATATAATTTTGGGTTCGTCGATTTCGTTCCAGTAACTTTGATGTGATTGTCGAAGATTTCGCCAAAATAATGGAAATCGTCGAGTCTGACCATTAATCGAGCACCAACTGCTTCGATTGCACTGAAGCTAATACATGCACGAAAATTGGTTTGGAACCAATTTAAAAGGGCTGAATACAAAAATAAGCTAAGTGCGTGGGTATCACGAGAAAAAAACTTAATGGAGGGTAACTGTGTATCATTAAGACGACGCTAGACCACATTCATAGATAGTGACTTTCCATCGATTACCATTTGCTTCTGCCTGATTTGACTGGTGAAGAACTGGCTTCAAGGGAAGCCTATGAAAAGGTTTATCCAATTTTTTGCCAATAAGGACTAAAGCATCTAGGAAAAAAGCATAACAAACGTTATATATTTGACGTAAATCGGATAATTCCTACTTTGGTTAATAAAGCTTTCAATTTAATGCACAAGTAATTGATTTCTTTTTACTTCTTTTAACGATTAAAAACATCAGCTGGCAAAGAACCTAGTCTTCACGTGGTGTTTAAGTGTATATTTTGTGGAGAACGGATTCGCATATCCGATAGTCTAATTAGTTTATTTCCATATTGTATTTTACATATATTCCGTATAAAAATCTATCTCTTGAAAGTAAAAATGACACAACTCAATATTTGGCTATTGGGTATTTGATTAATTAATAATATAAAAATAAACGAAAGACTCACTTTTTTGTTGATCTCCTGCTAAGCGGTTCCTTCTTAATAGATCCCGTACTCCTTAAGTAATCCGATTCTTGCTCGGAGCTTTTCACGACCAAGACATTCTTTGAACCCTCCAGAAACTCTGGATATGTTTTTACCCCAAAGTAGGCGATAATACCACCAAATAATGCCGACAGTATGAAAATCAAGCACAACATACTTAATGTGAATTGTTTGTCATCCTCGGATATCCAAGTGTTATCCGTTTCACGTTGCTTCGCCGGCACATGCAGTGGCAGGCAATTGAAAGGTGAAATTGTGCTTTCGGGCAACTCTAGCATGCAGAACGTATAGGTGTTATTCTCACTTAAATTGTGCACCAACATATACGGCTGCACATAAATTTGACATTGGTAATCGATATTTTGTGCTGCTTTACCGTTATTTTCATCCGTGGACTTTTCATATTGTTTGCTAAACCAAATCACATTGATTTCCGGTTGTGCATTGTAATCGGTTATCAACACTTGCACCGAATTATTGGGCAGCAAAGCCAACTGGAACGTGTAGGTGGGTAATTCAAATTTATAGGTCATCACTGGTTTGTGCAAATTACGATTGTACGTGTACATCGAATACGTAGTACTCGTACTAATGGTATTTTCTGAAGTGGTGGTATCCTGAAGCTGTGGTGTCAAGATAGTCTCCTCTAGCGTTGATAATGGAATAATTAGCCCACGCTCAACGCTTTCTTCGCTTGAGTTACTCTGTTCACTTGCTGACTCGACGGCATCTTCGGATTCTATTGAGATCATTTCTATATCAAAGGCACGTTTATCGCGACTTACTGGTTCTGTCTGCGTAGTACGGTTAGTCAAGGTATACAAACAGCGCATTTGTATGATGTCCGAAACCTCAATACTAGAACGGCTATCAATATCTTCACCAGGTGAGGGTCGTCCACCGGTCTTGTTTGGCGCGTATGTGGTTACCAACAAAGCAGTGCCCGCCGTTGTTGTGGGTTCAAGTGTTTTTATAGGTGTTTTTGTTGTTCCTGTTGTTAGAGGTTTTTGTATCGTAGTTTTAGCCGTTGTAGTTTTCTTAGTTTTCTTGGTTGTGCTAAGTACTTTGGCTGTTGTTAGTCTCGTCGTTGCCACTGTTGTGACATCTGGTTTATTGCTAATTGTCGTATTTATTGCGTCGTCCTCCCAACTAGTCTCCTCCAATTCCGTTGTCGTCACTAAACAGTTATCGTGCTGGAAATTCAACTCGTGCAACTCCTGACTGTGAAGGTTTACCGGCGTTCGACAGAATATACTGCCTATAAATTGTCTCCGAAATTGCCTATAAACTGCCGCGAATTCTTGGAGTGTACACTCACAGTTCCATTGGTTGTATGACAGGCCAACTAAGGTGGGTTTCAAGGAATTCAAAAGCGGCCATAGCACCTTACTCGAAATGGTTGAAATAAAATTTTCGGATAAATCGAGTACTTGTAGTTTACCAGTGAGATCGGCAAAAGCGTCCTCTTCTATAGCAGTAATTTTAGAGTTCGTTATATGCAAATACCGTAAATTGGGTGTGCTCGCGAGCATTTCACGCGTTAACGATCCATTGAAGACGTTGTGACTCAGATCGGCATACTCCAGTTTATTTAGTTTGCTCACACCGAATATCGTTGTGCCCGGCAACACTAACAAGCCACAATTCAAACGCACATGTATAAGTGTCGATTGTACAGGCTGGAAGAAGGCACGATTTATCTCACGAAGTGGCGTGTCGATGATTAGGTAACGCAACGAACCCAAACCAAGTAGAGAGCCGCTACCAACTTGCCTTAACTGGAGGTTGTTCAGCGACATGAAGTAGGTGTCGACAAAGAGTGGTGAATTAAAGGCTCCGCTGCGTATGCGCGTTACATTACTACTGCTGATGATTAGTTCATTAACGGGTCGCTTCTCAGCTATCCAAGAATTGCGCAAATGACCATTTGGAAAGCTTTGATTTATGATAAGTAAAACATCAATTGTGCTACAACGAGAATCCTATGAAAGAAGAGAAGAAAAGTATATTGAGAGTTTGGGTTATAAACATGTTTTTTTTTTGAAGAATCTTCAAAACTTTAAAGACACTGAAATTCAAAACAGAATCTAATATTTTGTTTATCCCTGCAATGGAGGAAGGAGAGAACTTCACTCTGAATAATACTCTTAAAAGAAAGGCAGTAAAGTCCAATATAAGACTACTGAGTCCACCTCTATTCCCTGTATGCGACGCCCACTAAGATGTTTCATGCTGTAGATATTATATTTATCGAGGAATTGATCTTTTATTTTATTCGTCTCCAAGACTTTCTCGATTTGAGCAATATAATGATACTGAAGTTTTGCTCTTTCATGTGTTGTTGCCCTTGTCCATCATTCTACTACTGGTGTTATGAATGACTTGAAGAGTTTTGCCTTTATACGTCAAGAGTAGACTTAACTTTTCCATTATCTACTCAGCTCAAAGTAAAACGTGTTGGCAAGAGTCTTCCCCTATTGGAGATGCATTTTCCACGAAAATTTGGCACAAATTTTGGAATTCGTCATCTTATAATTTGCATATATCTTGCCATTTTTTCGCCGCCATATCTGATTAGCTCAGCTGGTGAGTCATCGACTATTTGTTATTCCTCATACGACCATACGTTGATCGAACTTTGCCATAATATCTGTTCCGATTGCACCTTCGGATCGTCCTTTTGTTTGTTGAAAAGCCTTCTTTGCTGCTACAAGCTAGTGCTCCGAAGCATTAAAAGGTGTATAAACAATCGCAGAACCTCGGAAGATGCGAAAAGATCTACTTTGTCCATTATAAATATAGACACAAAGGAAGAGGTAAGAAAGAAACCCCCTCCATATGTTCTGAGAGACGTTTTTGTTAGTGTAGGGATTTGATAAAAACGAGCAAATTTTTATCACACACCTCAACGTATCTGATCTTCCTTTAGTTCAGAGTTAGAGTTCCCATATTTGGTACGATACGGTATAACTTTTTTTTCTAAGCTAAATTAATTTCAATATGGGTCTTAACTATCGACGAAATCATTAGCTGATTAATACTCCAAATTGCTGATAAAAACTGTTATTGGAGTATAAAGCCATATGCAAATATGTAACATACATAAGCACAATCTAGGTATATATAGATACAGGTCTGCAGGAGAGGCTCTCAATCACTTGTGGATTCTCAGAGAATCCCGAGCGACAATTTTTCTTATTTACTAATATACTCGTATAGAGTCAGAAATGTGCTCCGTTGCAGAAGAGAAATTTGTTAAAAAATATTGCAGTACCAATAGACTTATGTATGGCGTTGTGTTTGACCGGTTGGCTTTAGTTGTTGTGTGAGCTAGACTTTATAGAGATGCACGTGGTAGTTGAGCACTTGAAAACCTCGAGAAAAAGTCACATTCGGTCACATATGCACCTACATACTTGAGGTGGAACGAGTAAAAGGTCGATACCCAGGCCTTATGACATCCGTAGACGATTCTGACTCTTCGAATATAAGGACCAGCCTCTTATTTCGCGCTTACTACATGGCCACATTGAGAAATGTCAAAATTTAATCCTTTAAATTTCAAACCACAAACTGGATAACCCTGCATCATATTAAGTGGTTAGCATTGCATACTGCCATTCGGAAGGCTCGGGTTCAAATTCTTGCGTGGAATGTCAACCCTTCAGAGCATAATTCTGTCATGAAGTCAAAAGCTCTTCATAAAAAACCATCAGCCGTTCGGAGGCAGCTTGGTATTATATAAACTGTAGGTTCCTCCATTAGTGGGAAAAACATCAAGACGCAAAACCACAAATTGGAGGAGTAGCTCGGCATTGCGCCTAAAAATATGCTAAAAAGTGTAATTATTCACATTCAAAGAGCATAAAATATTTGTTAAACTTTTTTCATAAAGACTTAGCGTTTTTTCGGCCGCTTTTAGGTTTCAGAAAAGCGAAGCGTTGATATTTGTGGAAAAATAATAGGTTTTTATAAGCTTTGCAAGCTTTTTTTCATAATATTAAGTATTTTGTTTATTACTTTAATTTTTGTTAATAAACGACACAAAAGACTTACCTCGTAAGTAGCATAGAGCATCTCATACAAACGGCTTGCATTTCTACACGTCACTTTGCATTCATACTCTCTGCAGCCTCTTCTGTTTTCGGGAAATTCGGACGTTGTTAATAATAAAGCTCTACAGGAAATAGGAAATAAATATGGAGATTTGAAAAATATATATTTGCAATAGATGTTTGTTCAAATCGTTACAAGAAACCATTGTTTCGTACTCCTTCCTGTCTTACCTTACGCTCTTATTTAACGCCTCTGTTGTACTTTCTCTTGTCACAGTGGTACTTTGTGTTGTGTATATATATTCGACACTATTGTTGGTATTATTCAAATTGCTATCATCGTCATATATTTGATTATCTTTTAATTGCACCAAAATTCCCACATAAACCGTGCTTGCGATTATGCATAGGCCAAGAGTGAACAACAGCCAAGCGGTGATTTGTATGCACAAATCGCTCACCAAATATGACTTCCAGCCCCTGGGGTGGTAAATGGATAGAATTTTTGTCGATTAAATTAATATTCTATTGCTAAATTTTATCTCAATCTATATATATATTTATATATATATGTACTCGTATATATATTTCAGTTCACACTCACCTTGGTTTTATTGTTTCGAGTTCTGGCTGATTGTTTTTCACATCCTTTGCTTGTTTGGTACGCTTGGGCTTAGGTGGCGGCGTATCCTTGGCATCGGTAGTTTGTGACATTGCTTTGTTGAATTAGTAAATAAGACTGAGGTATTATTTGAATTTCGCTGTTATTAAATATTGTATTTGATTATCTGCAGGATCATATTTTCACACTTTCATCGGTCGCTAATTTATTTGTTTTATTATCAGTGGAGTATTTTATCTAATCACTTGTATCATATCGTACTGATATCCATATAATGCATATTAGATTTGCATATATCAATTTGCTGGGTGTGCATATATATTTGGGGTAATAATTGTTTGGTAAAGTTTCATCTTTTGAAGAAAATAGTTTCCAAAAAGACTGTTAATTTTTTTCAATTATTACTTAAAAATGCTAGCTGTGGTCCTACTTGTTGCACAACCAAGTCCAAGTAATGGGTAACTCATTCATACATGAGTGTATTCGTTAAGAAGACTGTAAAGAGTAAGGGTTAAAAAGTGCATTGGGAGCCTCGCCACTTTTACTAATTTTCTCTAATATTCCACAATTACTAAATGATTATTCCTTGGCATAAACAATCTTAATGTCAATAGTCGTTCATATCTGGCTCTTCCTCCAATTTGTGGTGTGTGTCTTGATATTTTTCGACGAATGTAAGGACCTTCAGTTTATTTATTCAAAGCCGCCTATGAACTATCGATGGATTTTATGGGTATTTGTTATATCGTTTCTTGTGAGTAATACACTCAGAATGGTTGACATTCCCTGCCAAGGCGTGATCGCAATAAGAAAAATTACCTTTTTTATGATATTGGATGTTGGTCGAATCAGGACTCTAATTCTGGTCATCCAAATATCACTACGCTATTGCGGCCGCTCTTAGGGTATAGAATCACATTGTGTATGCAGTCATATATATACATATATCAAGACTATCCGTCAGCGGCCTACCTACCTGTGAAATATCCTCCTTGTGCAGACAATAATAGCTTCTCGGTCCTATTTCGCAAAGTTTGCTGCGACATACGACTAGAGAAGTTTTGCTCCACCTTAAGGCGTAAAGTGGATAACTGCATTCTTAAAGGTTCATGGGCTGAAATCCTGCTCAGATAAATAATCAAAATTATAGTAAAATAATCTAAAATTATTCTTTCTGACTGCGATACCCTCTCGGTACGCGACCCTACAATTTGCCTCCTAGCCCTTGTAAATGTTTGCTTCTCCTGCAAACTTCTCCGTCAGTCCAGCACGATTTTACAGTTCGTCATTTTTGAACTTAAAGCCTTCATTGCTGCCTGACTCTATCTGAAGATGAAGATTTCTTTTCCTGTTTACACGTTTCTAATGATCTGGCAGCTGGAACCCCCTTTTTCATTGTAATATCAATTTTCGAACTATCTTTTTGTACTGCAATGCTCCCATACAAAGAGTCATAAATGCTTTTTCATTATTTCCTATCCAAAATCAGTCGGAACGGGTACCCAAAGTTGAACATACTGCTTCTCTTTCCTTAAGCCGACAGCGCTGCCAACCGATGTGCTGTCAATTCAATAGAAAAAAAGGTTCAAAGGACTACATTTAGAGGTTGATTTGGAGTGGTTCTAAGCTGTACTTTGAATTTAACTAGTAAGGTATTGATCACATAATCGGGCTCTCTGTTTGGTGCCAATAACTGATACAAAATTCAAAGACTGTAGGAAAAGTCCAAAGACTGAGAAAACCAATGTATTGAGTGTGTAACAAAGAGTAAACTTAGATCAATATTTTCGATATTAGGATGACCGGAGAATAAAATTATGGTTTTTCTCTGCAGAAAGTGTCAATATGAGAGTAAGTTAGATTCTCTTCAATATTTGGTATTACTGATTTTCACGTGGATACAGGCAAGTAGTGTTCATACTTATTCCGATTTAAGTTTAATTAAGAAGTTTTTTCTCAGAGCGAACTCAACTTATGTTAACGAAATCGACACAATGCAATTCCGCAAGAATCAATACTTTCTTCATACAACGCATACTTACTAGTCGATATTTCGACCACTGCAGCTGGCATAAAAAGTTAAAAAATATGTATTTTGGTCAGTTTTACCCATTACAAATCAGTTAAACATATTTATTGCAATTTATTTATACTTTATTGCAGACTACTAATATATTTCTTGATAATAATCTAAGCTTTCATATTCATTTTCGAATTCCACTGCCTTTCCATTGGAAGGTAGTCGTGAACCTGAACGTAAACACGACTTCAACGGCTTCGGCTCATTCTCCAAAATAACAGTAGACTGTTGTGAGAGCTGACGTACTGGGATATAGACACCACGAGCCTCTGGTGGCAGTGCTGGCGCACGATTATCTGGCGGACGTATGTAAGAAATATATGCGACATTCGTTTGTTTTTTATTTAACTCGTGATTCTTGAAATATTGCATATAATCGTAAGATTTGATATTTAGACAGTTCTCCGGTGTGAGCGTATCGCTGATCGATGAAGGCATATTCGATAACTCATTCATAGCGTATGTTTGTGAATCCAATGATGTACGCTCCCGTTTCGGAAAGAGTAAGACTTCGTGTGATGTAGAGGCGAGACGGCGTAAACGTTTGCTGCCATACATAAGTGTTGGACGCCAACGAAGTAAGAAATATACCGTTGCCACGCCCACAGCGACGCATAATAGCGTTATAAGTATACTGATTGTGAAGAAAACCGCTCTATCGTTATAATTCAACCACGATTTAGGTACTGCCGGTGGTAAGTATGCCGCACGGCAGTTGAATGGTGAGGTCGTTATTATACCAATGGGTAAAAGACAAAAAACGTAGCTTTGATTTGACGTAAGATAGTCGATATCAATGGTGGTACTGTTTCCCACTGCAAGCGCTTGATAATTGCGGTAGTTCAGAGCTGGAAAATATATCACTTCAAAGCTGCTAGCGTTACTGCCGATTCGTAACTCTACGCTTTTCGGTGAAATCGTTGTCACATTAAACGGGACATCGTAGTCGCAGAGACTTACGGCTATTATATGAGAACAAACTAAGAACTTTGTTGATTTATTTTGGTAGCACTGCCCGGTTGGGCTCACCGTTGTCGCTAAAAAATAATTAAATTATCATAAAATTAGAATTTAGATAAAAAATGCGCAACAGAAAAATATATAAGCTTAAATCGATTTGCTCTTCAGGGTAACCCTCTGTATGATTTATTTGAAACTAATACGAATTTCATGCCTATTAAGTAGGGCAACCACTGCCCTTGCATCCTAACGGGGATCATGAATTCGAAACGTGGCTAGAGGAACAGAAAAAGCTTCTTTCTTGTTTGGATTTCTGACTTCAGAAAAAAAATTATAGATCACTCTTTTTCGTGTCATATTGAAAAAGGACAATTTTTAGGATTTTTTTTTTAGTTTTAAACTGCTGCAGTCAGCTACCTGCCCACAGTGTGTTTCGCTATGCCATGCAATGGGGTGTGTTGGGGCCACAATAATCGAGTGGTTATCATTGCATACTGCATTCAGAAGACGAGGGTTCGAGTTTTGGTATGACCAAAGTTCCAAAATAATAGAAAATTAATTTTTCTAATTACGGTCGCACCTTAACTGGGAATTCCTATCTCTCCGAGTGTATTTCCGACATAAAAATTAAAAGCTCCTCAAGCTCTATTCGTAGCGACAATATCAAAAGTCAAATCTCAATTTGGTCGAAAATTGTTTCAGCGGCTGCAAAACGTCAAGTTTCTGGGAATGCAGATGCAGTCGTGGGGTTTTATCCAATTCTTCGCACACGCTGGAAACGTGAGCAACCCTTTGTGTGAGATGCTGTACTCAACAGTATGGAGCCTTGAGTTGTGGCTAAAAGAGTGGAAGCTTCAGGGGAAACATTCCGACTTATTCGGTTAAAAGCTACCCTGAAGTCTATTTCCAACCGGGTGTCGGTCTTGATGCAAGCGACTCCTCATGTAAATGTGTAAAAAACAACTCTCATAGCGAGGTCATGCGCTATGGTTAAGATCCGCCATGTAGAATTCAGCTCCATTGAATAGATTTATAATGCATTGGAATTTCCAATACGTTAATTGGGAAGGTGCCGCTGTAGAGCTGGTTGATGTCATCGTAAGATTGAATTTAACATCACTAACATCCAAGAAGTGCAATGGCTTGGACAAGAACGGAGACGAGTAGGTCCCTGTGACATTTACTACAGCTGCCATTCAAAGCAGCGCACATTTGGTGTGTGTCTTTTGTTGGGAGAGACTCCGTTGCCGAGTCTTAGAGTTCACAAATCCCATCAGCATATGGCTGATTTGCGCCCACATACCGATTGAAGAGAAGAGTAATGTGACCAAGGATGAGCTCGTAAAAACTTTCTTATGTGCGCTGCCCTCACCGCGATGTGAAAATCGTGCTTGGCGACTTCATCGCCGGTGAGGACAAGGAAGGTATCTTCGGCACAACTGTCGGAAAACTCAGCATCTACAACGAATAGGCCAAGGTTGATTCCAGCACAAAAAAAAACAGATTCCAAATATTATCCTGCAGCAAGGATTCCCAACCGCCTCTATGCAGCAGAGAGAGGCCGTCAACAAACACAATGAAGGTAAGATGTCGAAAAACTAAAAAAGGTTTCTGAAATAGTTCAAAACGCATGGTTTGAATGAACTTTGGAATTTTTCTTTAAATCTAGTATTGCTTAAGCGAAAACTTTATTTTCTTTTATTTTGCTCAATCTTACGTCTAGTGCTTGTAGTTATAGTTGTCACAGTTGTTTTTGGAGCACTTGTACTTGTCGCTATTGGAGGCATTGATACTATTGTTATTGCTGTTGTTTCATAGATTGTTGTATCCGGTGTATTTGGTGCCGTGGTCTCTACTTTTTCAGTTGTTGTCGGCATTGTGGTTGTAGGTGGCGTTGAAGCTATTGTTGTGTTTAAAGTGACTTCTGTCGTGGTTTCTAAAAAGGGTATTTAAGTTAAATAAAGTTTTGTATAACCACACAAATTGAAATCAATACTTGAGACAGTTTGAAAGCGAATGTCTAGTCATCACAACGAGCATATCCGTGAGACCCTTTTTATGTTCATAAAAAAATATACACTTCATATAAGCTCTTAGGTATCGCAAAGAGGTATCATAACCTTATTTTGGCTTACTTAACCTAACTTTATGCTCTCTGTTGTCACTTCCAAAATTTATTGTATATTACGCACCTGTGTTGATTATTGTTGTGTTTGGACTTGGGCTGGGTGTTGCTGTTATCCATGGCGTTGTAGTCACCATATTTGTTGTTGCTGTAGAAGTTGATATCATATCTAATGGTGAGACAATTGTAGTCAGTGGTGAAGTCGGTATTGTTGAATTAGGAAAAATTGTCTGAAATGTAGTTCTCGTCATTGGTTCTGTTATTGTTGGTGCTGTCGTCTTAGTATTTCTTGTTGTCGATATTGTTGTTGTGGCTTTAGCTGTTAAAGCTGTTGTTTTTGTCATTGGTTCTGTTGTTGTTGTCTTTGGTGTTTCCATTTCGGATATTGTTATTTCTGTTGTAATTATTACTGCTTCTGTTGTATTCTGTGTTGTTGGTTTTATGGTTGTTATCATTGTTGCTTCTGTTATTGGTGTAGCTGTTGTATGTTGAGTTGTTGTCGTTGTCGCTTTTGGCATTTCAATTGTCGTGGCTATCGTATCTGTACTTGTTGTTGTTATGTTAGGCGTTCTTTGTATTTCCATTGTTGCTGTTGTTTTTGACATACCTGTTGTTGTTATTGTTGGCTTATTTGTTGTTATTGTTATTACGGTTGTTGTTGTTGTGTCTGTTGTTGTTGTTTTCGTTGCCGTTGTTGGCATAGCAACTGTTGTTGCTGTCGGTTTTACTGTCATCGCTGATGTTTTTGTCAATGAATTCGTATTTGTTGTTGAAGCCAGTCCTAGAGAACCAAACTCCATATCAAAAACTGTAAGGAGAGCAACTATATCTATAACTACCTACCGCTACAATTCAATTCCGCATAACGTATTTGTACACCTTGAAGTTCCACCGGTGTTGCACATACCACATCCCTTGCATACTGGTCTTCCACTTGTTGCAAATAATAAACCAAATCAGTATTCTCACAACAGCGCCACAAATTGCTCGACATTCCAATAGTCACATTGTTCAGTGTTGCCAACGCTAAAAACTCGCCATCCAACCTTTGCAAATTGTTGCCACGCAAATCGAGGTATTGCAGAGTTTGTACGATTGCAGTGAACACATTCTCGCCAATCACACTCAAAGTACAATTGGCCAGCCGCAGCTGTTGCACAGCCACCAGGTTCGAGAATGTTCTGTTGTTGAGTGTGTGATTGAAATTTGTGCCACTCAAATCGACAAACAATAGCTGCGCATACAAGGTGTCGCTATCATCGCCCAACCAGTCGGTGGGGTTGTAAATAGTTTGACAATTGCATTGCTCTTGTATTTGTTGCAAAATAACCATACTCAGATTGACTGCCATGGGTTGCAAGAAATTGCTTGCTGTCAGTGTTGCATTTGCCGTTTGTTGTTGATTGATGAGCGTGAAATTTTGCACTGTTCCTAAGCCAGAAAATGTTTTCTCACTCAAGGATTTCAATTGAACACCTTCAAAAGTCAGATTCAACAATTTATGCATTGTTGTTTGATCGAAGGCGCTGTCAGCGATTGTTTGCAGTTGACAATTCCGAATTGTTAAAGTGTTCAAACGAAAACTTCCCGAGAACATATAAGCGTCTATGGTATTTTTTTGAAACACGCAATTCTCAATGATGACATCGAAATATTTATTGCCGCAATACCGGATAAAGTACTCGAACTCTTGCTCAATTGCTATGGAGTTGACCGGTTGACCTGTACAAGTTATGGTTTGGCATGTTCTGTTGTCATCGCAGGTGAAGCTTCTAATTGTACGGAACACAAAATAATTTTATTGTCAATGCTTTTTTTTTATTAAATATAAAAAATAATTATGATTTTTCTAATATGATTTTATTTATTTATTTTTTTTTTGAATAATTTGTGAATTCAGCTATTGAAGTATCATTCGGTATAATATCGCTACTTTGAGTAAATAATAAAGCGACCCGCTAACGAGCATGGAGCCGATTTTTGACATAGACACCGAGTGCTTAAAACTTTAGTCGATCAACCACTTAAAGATAGGTAACGTTACTGGCTCTAGAGCAACCAAAATCAGGCTATAGAATGCTTGTGGAAGTGCCAAAAGACGTGTAAGGACTCCCTTTAAGGGATTCATTTATGCATAAATGACAATAACGACTATGTGAAGCAAAGAGTGCATAGATTAGAAGCTTACATAGTACTTTCAATGTACGTACATACATACATTTAAGGAATTTTAATTAAGCTGGAATTTGGCTCATATACGCTGTGATACAAGATTTTCCGGGAATCAAGGTTTCACTTCACCTTTTTAGTATTCTGAGTAACTTTCCTTTCTAGATCTTAGAAACCTCAGAGGCTATTCGTGTGAAGATTTCCTCTAGCAAGACTTCCTGTTAAATTTTCCGTAGAATAATTTTTTAGAACATTTTAACCATCCAACCCTGTTACCAATTTGTGCTTTTAAGTGTGTTATTCAGCCTTTCTAGTTGAGTTGAGAATTGAAGTATTACGCGAAGCCAAAGTTCGTTTAAGTTTGAACAGTGAGAAAGCTGAAGTGACTTTCAACCGAGCTCCTCTTTCAACTTGTGGTTTTGTATCTCGATGTTTTTCCAACACACGGAGGAACCTACAATTTATTACAAGTCGCCTACAAGCGGCCGATGGAGATTTTTATTTCTTGTCAGAGTTGGCGGAGTTGACATGCCCTGCCGAACGGCGGCCTCAACGGATACTGTCTGTGCTAGGACTCGAACCCTAGCCTTCAAAATGGCAGTACGAAAGTTTAACTACTGGGCTGTTGTGCTCACGAAGGCATTAAGGATAACATACAGTGAATTCGAGCTAACTCTCCATATAATCCTTCGAAGGTTTTGTTGCTGGATTTCTGTATATTCGGAAAATATTTACGGAATCCGTTCTGATTTGAGTTCCCTGAATACAGTGTTTTCTTCATTGTTTGAATCTTATTAGGCCGTTTAAATGCAATCCCGCTATTTTGAATACATCAGCAAGAATGGAGGAAAGCCTTAAAGAGGAGGGGTTGTGGTCCTCCAACTATTTCTAGCATACAAGAGTTTGCGAGGAGTTTTACTGCTACGGAAAAGACCTCACATACAAGTTTGTATGCCTTGTGATTGCTACCTATGTAGCTACACATACTTATGTTCCTGGGATGAATAAGTCAAATGTGACGGCGGCGTGATATTGACGTCGAGCTTAAGAAGTGTCACATGAATATCATTATCGTTGTTTTCAAACTATTTGACCCTTTAAATGAGAATACTTATATTCAACATTCGGAGGTGGCAACAAGACGCAAAACCAAAAATTGGAGGAGGAGCTCGGCCGAAAATCGCTTCAGCAATTACAAAGCGCCAATCATATATTTAAGGTATTTGGCGAAATTTCTTTAGAGTTTTTTTTCACAGTCCCTTATGTCTTCTTGTCAACTTTTTCACTAGGGAACGAGAAAAGAGAACTGATTACAGAGATCGCAAAGACCTATTTAAGTAAAGTACAGTTTTATCGCTGACTATCGTGGATGACATCACCATCAACTCTTCCTTCAAGTCTCACTTCATTTGGCCTTCTAAAGTTTTAGCAAATTTGTAGGAGTTGAAGAACACTTGGATGAGCATATTTTCGTGAGTCAATTTAAACATCTGCCTTTACTGGGCTCTGCCTCAAACTTTAATCTACTTAATCTACCCAAAGGCTCGATAGACTGACATCTACAAACCTTTTGAAATAGCTCAAGTTGAAGTCTTCACTTTTCCCGGGCGATATGCAAATGCATAGAGACATTTTTCTATTATATGCTGCTCAAGTTTACTTTTACGCCACTTTCACTCCCACCTTCAGATAATCATAAATATATTATATAAGAATTTCGTATTTGTTTCGACTCAACCAAAGAGAAATACGATTTTTTGTTTAATTGACTTACGTGATTGGAATTTGAGCGGCAGCCGTTTCAATATTTAGCACGCCAATAACTGCGCTGCCTTTTTCTTCCTGTTCTTCTCTATCTTCGCCCAGCTCACCAACACTCTGTCCTTCTTCCGTTGTATCTCCTCCAACCGTTGTAATTGTCCCGGGGCTGTCACTGGTTGTGCTCGTTCCCACTTCAGCTGTTTGATTTTCGATCTCAATTAAGGGTACGACAACCATCTCATATGAGTCACCCGAGAAATTTACATTACTCAAAATCAAGAGCAATGAGAAACCGATGAGTGATATTGCAATTAAATATCTGTTCCAGCTGTGTATGGGTAATCAGACACGAAGGAATTCATGTATGTGATCACTGACGCTAAAATTAACCTCATAACTCACCGTATACGCCTGGGCTCATACAGAAGGTCACGTCCTTTTTGGTTTTTATCCGTATTGCTACTGAGAGTAAAGGATTTCGATTTTAACATTTTAGCTTCGCAAAGAAGGAACGTTAAATGTTTATAATAGTATTAATTAAATTTTGATTTTTTGGTGATATTTCCTTCAAACCAATTGTTACTCGCTCAACCACTCCGAACAAACTGATTTTATCGCATTTGATTCTCAATTAGTTTTCGCATAATTATTTATCAAAGCTTAATTTATTTAGTAAACAATTAAATATGATTTGCTTATCGTTGTGGTAATAAAATTACGATTGTTTGGTTTGATAAGGCTGGTCACAGGAAGCAGGCTTTTTGTTGTGGGCGCGTAAAGGAATTAATATATATTTTTTACACTTCATGCATTATTCTGCGCTATTTTTTTATTTATTAACTACTCATTTGCTCGAAATACCAAATAAAATATGTAAATGAATCTTTTTGAATTCTTAGCTTATCAATACTTTGAACAAGAGTATTTGCTTCACATGCGCACATGTTGTGGTGTTCGCCTCATATATGCGCATATGGTTTAGGAATGGCTAAAGTGCCTCAAAGTATACCTCATTAGTATTTATATCGTTAATGCGCCAAAATAATTAGAAAACCTTACAATTGTTTCGCTATAACCAGTTTTTGATTTATGTACTTTATATTCATATACACCTCATGTGAAGTACAGGATGTTTATGAAAGTTTTTGCAAAATTTTTCTTAAGTCATTTTGAAGCTTTTTTTTTGAGCGAAATTTGGGTTTTGTAACCGCTGAAGGGTCTTTCGCCCGAGCTCCTCCTCCAATTTGTGGTTTTGCTTCTAACAAATGAAGGGACCTACAATTTATACTAAGCCGCCTCCGAACGGCTGGTGTTCTTATTTCTATGAGGAGCTTCTGATTTTTATGTCAGAAATACGCTCGACGTGGTTGGCATTCCCTGCCGACTATTGGATGTTGGTCGTACCAGGATTTGAAACCTGAACTTTAGAATGTCAGTACTCGGCTACCGCGGCCGCCAAATATTATTAAGTGAAAAAAAGTACCTTTCCATCCGAAGATTCTACTGAGGCTCATTTCCTCTGTGTATCTAGGTATAATAGAAGTAACCAGAGTCAATTCAACGCAGAGATCTACAGAAACTTAAGTCCACTAAGTTTTTCTGCGGATTTCATCAGAGAGCAGGCTCTGAGGAAGGTCTTCACTGAGCTTCATACGTAACAGAGTAAGTCAGAATTTCTACGCTAACCAGAAAATTTATCCTAATCGGTTGATGCTCTGAGTGTTATAGCACTTCGGCCATTCTTACGGCGTTTAAATATGTTTCTCATTCAAAAAAAAAAAAAAAAAAAAAAAAAAAAAAAATTGGTACCCACCCTATACATCCTCAGTGACTTTAACTGCTGTCGAAACAAAATAAATTACAATGTTTATAAATTATTTGGATTAATAAATTGAGTAAGTGCAAAAAGCTGTTGTACATAAGTTTCATATAAACTATGTTCGGGGTGTAATGGGGTGTAGCCAAACTTCTGGGTATTCTATTACAGTTGCGAGGCTGTGCTCAGTTCTTACTTATGCGTCTACGTCGCGCAACCCTCTGTGTGAGATGGGGTAACCAACCCGTGTGGACTTTTGAGTAACGGCATATTAGAGAAGAAGCTTCAGTCCACTGAAGTCTAATTTCAGCGTCTCTTCAAGAGTGGTCACGCCACACAGAAACCATCCAAAATGAAAAATTTTGACATGCCTCTAATAAGAGACCCAATTTTCTATGACGACTCCCGCAAATGTTTTAGAGACCATAATTTGAGACCATGCAGCCCTGATTTTGTAACCTCTTTTTGGTATGGTATGGCTGCTCAGCTGGTTGATCTCCTCGCTAAACTAAAGGCTCACATCATCGCCGTCTAAGAAGAGCGGTGGACGGAAGAAGGAGGAAAATTTACATAATATTAAGCTAATCGAATCATAATACGTTTCTATTTTCGAATTCATCATTTCCAGGCTCACCGCCCGAAAGAAAACGTAATTTTTTAGTTTACTTAGACCAAACTCTAGCTCTTTACCAAATTTTGCTAATCAAACGATAAATATAATATTTTTGAATATATCGGTCGTAGGTCCACTTCCCGAATAAAGTGTTCTCCATTTCAACTTGGGCAATAATTAACGTCTGTACCAAAGTTTAGGCAAATCGAGCTATTAAGATGTTTTGCTCACTAGTAAATGATTTAGCATCCACGATTCTTCTCTACGTTTTTTTATTACCAACCTTTGAAAATTTCGACTTTCTTTCTGATAAAAAGTGATCAAAGAAGACATTAAACAACTTTTATTAAAAAAATATAATCATTAAATTTTTTTTCTTTGTTCGATCTGTTCTTCAAACAAATCGTTTTTATTTATTTTCTTTAATTACAATATGTATGTATGTACATTCTAAATTTGGTTTAAAAGAAAATTCAAGAGTTCAACTCCCCTCTTACTCCCCGCCATTTTTGCTCTCCTCATCTACAGTTGTATCGGTCACTGTAATATAAGGCATACTCTCTAGCACCAGGCCAGGAATGTCTTCTTCCGCAATAGTCGAACCGCTGGATGTTGATCTAACTTCCACGCGATCTGTAGGCAATGCTGGTAGGGGATCGTTGGAAGTGCGTTTTCGACGTGGCGCAACTTCTGCATAACTAACTAAACTTGCATCTTGGCATTCCGTATAATGCGGTGCTAATGTTGACATATAACTGTTGATCGATTCGAAATCTACTGAGTGCTGAGCACAGTCTGCTGAGCTGACATCTTGTAGGCGTAGATAGGCTGGTATGACTTCATATAAATTGGCATTCATATAGCTTTGGTTGCTGCGGTTACTCTCAATGCTAATATCCGAACCACGACGTATAACATGGTTGTTCGTACTGGTGTTGGTATGCGAAGTAAAGGATGCGGTGGTTGTAATGGTATCGAAGGTGCTAAACAGAAAAAATAAAAGAAAATTTAAATACCATTGAGGACTCATATACTTCTGTCGGCAGCTGCTACTTTGGACTAAGTAAGCATTTGAGAGGTGAAATTATGTCTCAAGGAACAAAGCCTAAACCTTGAAATTGGAGGGAGTTTCTGAGAAAGTGATTGATGATTGAACGATGAAACGATGGGCTGCTGAAGGTAATTTAGCTTACCGAGTTAAAACACAGCGGCCACACTGGACTAGGTCAAGACGCCAGTAGCTCCAGAAACCTAGCTTTGAAAGTTTTCGGTGAAATTGTTATAGAGTAAAGAGAAAGAGTGATGTGGTATTAACTTTACATAGCGTCTCCATATACTAAAATAGGAATTTTCAGGCTGGGTTATTTTTTTACGAAATGCTAGGACATGCACATCTGCAGTATTCCCGGTGTCAAGATTAATTAAATCTTTCGTAGGACCAGCACTTGGTGGTAACTCTGGCAACTTCTCTACAAATTTTAAAGTTCGTTTCAATGTTTTCCCAACAATCATTACTTTTAGGCCGTTTCCAAACGGTTGATAGACTTTCACGAGAATCTCAAAAGGCAACTGTTGCCTCGTGAGTGAATTAGAATTTCAAGGTGTTGGCCATGCCAGAGCTATAATCCACTAGCTCCTCTCAGAATTCAAGGGATATCATAAGAGGTATATCAACATGGAAACTCAAGAGAGCACTTCACGCCTTCTCAGTACTCACCTTCTTGAGTGACGATTCGCCAAGCCTTCTTCCTTTATTTTAAGGCTTTCCAGGGAGTGCTCCCGTGGGAAGATAACAATATCTATTGAATTTTTTCCCGTTGTTTTCACACGTTTACTGCCCTTCAACAAACGCGGATTATGTTTGAATAACATAAAGACACCTGTAATGCCCAAGAAGCAACTGAGCACGATGCCAAATATGGTCAGCGATATGCCCGTGGCGCGCATATCATACGACAACCAAGCATTATACACGATACCCAGATTGGAGCTCATATGCAGCGAGTCACAGTGGAAAGGTGAAATTGTCAGCTTTTTATCGGCAACCAAACAAAATGTATAAGTGGTATCGGGCAAGAGCGCGCCAATGGTGGTGGCATAACTGATTGGACCAACGCAACCCAGGCCATATTGATCATAATTAACGGTCATGCTGTAATAATCGTCGATGACTTTACTGAACCAAATCAAGCCGAAAGAGTCATGCGAGCTGTTTGTATTCACAGTCACCTCGACACGCAGTTGTGACAACTGCGTTAACTGTATTTCGGTTTCGGGCCAGAGCACTTTTTGCCACGTAACCACTCGCTCCTGTGTCGATGAGAGGCAGCGCAGCATAATTTCATCATCATCATCGTTAGAGTCTTCACTTGATGTTGTTGAAGTTTTTTGTGTAGGCGCAGCTGTTGAAGACGGCTCTTTCGTCGATATATAGTCAATATCGATTTGCATACGTGTGGTAATCATTTTGGGTGTTGTTGGTGACATCTCATGTTGGGTGCTCACGTTGGCAGATGTTGTTGTTATATTGTAATCATCGTAGCACAAACGCAAATCCAGTACACTCAATCCTGTATATTCTTCGGGCCCATGACAGTAGGGGAATATTTTCTGGTGTGCGAGTATATAACTCATTTCCAACAACAAGCTGCAAGAGCAATCCCAAGGATTATTGCTGGCATCGATTATTAATTCATCATCTATTGCATGTCGGCCGAATATATAACGGCTTATGGTGAACAGTTGATTGTAGGACAAATTCAGATAGAACAGCGAATCGGTGAGTTGTGAGAAGAGATAAAGGGGCAAAAAATTTATATTCGAATGCGACAAATCCAAGTGTTCCACAACCCACATCTTCTGGAACGTCTCATCGGTGAATGTGTTGGTGAAGTTGTTGTAACTGATATCAACATATTTTAAATTGTTCAGCAAACTGCTCGATGCCGTTGTATTGGTAATATGCGTTGCACCAACTTGTAGAGTGAAACTCTCTATTTGATATTTAATATGCCCAAGGAAGTCATCGCAAATAACCGTTACCGGCTTATTGTGTTGAATGATACTTAGGTGTTTAAAAACCAATGTTGCGTTTTTGAAAATATCCTTGCGTAACTCCTCTAATTGTAGATTCTCCAGGAAGATCGCTTTAAAATTGCCCATTCCAAAAGCGCCGGCCGCAATGTGTGTCACATTCGATGAGCCAATGTACAGACTGTGCACCTTTTGCGAATATTCACCGAGAAAGCCCGCAGAGATTGTCTGATTCGTGAATTCTATATCGTAAAGACGCAACTCGGTGAGTTGTGTGCAATTGGACTGCTGAAAGAGAAGATAGAATTTATGTAGTGGAAATCTTAAATCATTCTTTTTTTCGCTCCTTAAACTCACATCAACCAATAGCGCATTTTTTATACTCTCATCCAATTGTTCTCCTTTATGGCCTCTACAGATAATTTTACATCTTAACTGCACACACTTTGGTGGATCATCCTTAACGGTTATTTGTACATATGGCTTGCTGTGCGGAAAAAAAGCGAACTTATATGTAGTAATCAATTTAATATTTATTGTTATTAAAATTGAAATAAATGGAAAAATAATACACCCACAGTTTTTAAAGGTTTAAAACTGGTTCCTGTGGAATTCATATTTTTCAAGATCGGAAAGTCAGAAATTAGTTTTTTTTTTTTTTGAGATTTTTCCTTTGAAGAACATTGTATTATTCAGGACGAAATATCCTCCTGTTCCATCAGGACAACACCAGCATGCACATGTCGATAATGACTCACCATAAACTTTTACGGCTTGGTTGGGAGGTTCTTTTGGCTGATGAATGCTTTTGCTGTTGAAAAATTTGTCTTAAGAGGAGCCTGTGAAAATCGATTGCCCCAATTTTTTGCAAACCTCTCGCATCTGAAGCTCGGAAAATGAAAGATTAATTGTTGAAAGAAGAGTAAGTCCGGCGGGGTTATTCGGCTTTACCTTTTCGGAAATGAATGGAATGGGCTATCGAGAAATGATTAATGGCTTTTTACGTCTGGATTTGGATTTGGAATTTGTCTGGGCAACGTTTACTTTCAACAAGCCAACGCCACGTGCCCCACAAGCAATGAAACCATCGATCTTTAAAGAGAAAAGTCTTTTATTTTGATATTATAACGTTGAATGTCATAAAGAGCCCTTAGCTACATTTGAGAAACTAGGAGGCTTAGCTTTCATTTAGCCATGAACTGAGGTATCCAGAGACCAACAGATTACCAAATAAGTCTTCACTTTTCTGGTCAGACTTATTTTGGAATATGGTTCCTTTGAATGATGGCGAATATATTAAAGAGATAAACTGGATTATGTAGTATTCTACTTTTCGCGTTGAGAAATTCCCATTGGAATGCTAATAGGAATCTCCCTCACAGAAAGATTCTTGTGCTTTTACTCTAAGTTAACTTGGTTAGAGATATCAAAAACAATATATTCCTATTTAGTGAGCTTGATATAAGCATCCTTTAAAAAATAATATCGATATTTTAGGAAAACATGTTTTGTGGGGGAAACTGTGAGCCAGAGCTTTAGATTTTGTTCAAACAGTTTTGAGCACATTGAATAAAGAACTTGTATTTTTTCCCGGAACATTGTTCCATACCCGAGTATCTAGAGTTCCACTTTGAATCTATTTTCGAGGCAAGTGTACTGTAGTAACATCGAAAAAAAATTGTTGTTTGAATGTACGTAGCTGGACCATAGTCTTTGAAGACTTTTGTTTTTCCATAATATGGGATTTTGAACTGAAACTGATCACATGAACAAATAAAAAACTGTTTATAAATTAATTTATTAATACTCTTATCTTAATCTAATCTTTACTTTGAGCCCATATTTTACTCAATATTTATGTTCAAATTAGTTGTATCCTACTTTTTATTATATTTGACCTTTGATTACTCAGTTATAAGTAGCTTATAATAAATCTTTATTACTGTGGTACCAAAAAAGTTATTAGGTTGGAATATTTTCATATGGTTACACTCATTGAAGGTTGGAGGTTGGAGCAAGTGAACAGTAGCTAAAACGGATGTGCTGGTATTAAAGCCCTTCTGTGAAATTGAAAGAATATTTAATCACTTAATCCATCTATCAATCAATATTAACCCATGCTTGTGGTGTAAAATTTCAGTGGAACCATTTATAAATGTACGAGGGAATTAATAAAAGTTCGGTAAGTTGGCCAGAAATAAAAATGCTTTCGTATTTATTTTTTTTATATTTATTATGTTATTTTCTATTGCTGAAAACAGTCCTCAAAAACCTGCTTTTTGGGCTTATCAAGTTCAGCATTAACTCCATTAATTAACTGCTCGTTGCTATTAAAGACTTTTTTAACTTATTTTTAAGAAATCACAAGGTGCTATATTCAGGGAATAATGTGCTGGACGTATTCCTTCGTTCTCAGAGATCGCAATAAAATTACTCGTGATTTCTGCAGTGTGGGATGGTGCGCTGTTCGTAATATAAAAAGAAGCGCCGCAAATTCTCTTTCTTCCTGGTTTCCAACAAATTTTTGAAAACTTTTGGTAAGCCCCAGTTAACGTCTGACCCTTTTCTAACGGAAGAGCAGCTACGATTTTAGGTCAAATAAAGTTAACTGACATCATTAGTTTTGCTACTGAGTTTTGTTGCTTAGGTTTTATGGGTGGTATAGTGATGTCATCAGTGGAAGATTTTGGTCGACCTTCTAGGAGCTCATTCTCTACGGTCTGTAATCTTCAGAACTACTTATGAATAATCTTTAAAGACGCTGCAAATATTTGCATATGCAATTTTGCATTCACTGAATATTTGTATTGGCTGTAAATTGCGTCGAAAACCGAAGAGAAGCACATGGCGAATTTCTGTTTGCGTTGGTGGCGGAATTTCGCCTGACCTATCGTGAACTAATTGGAGTTTTCTGGTCTCCATTTTAGCCGATCATTCTACATTTTGAAAGGAGGCCTTATTAGTCGTACAAACGATTAAGTATTTTTAATTTTTACAAAAAAAGTTGAATGTCACCAACTGATCGAACTTCTGTTAATCCCCTGGTATACATATATATACGCACATGTAAAAACTTCTGCAGTAAATTCCAGAGTACAGAGAAAATTTTACCGTTTTATCATTATCATTTAACAAACCAGATAATAAAATAGTTACTCATGTTAAACACTGTTATCATCATTCGTTTTCATTTTTCTAAATGTATGAATAAGCAATTTTTTTCACTAATGATAATGTAATATAAATCAGCGCCGAGTAGAACCAAATTGTATGGTATACATTTCCAAGAATTATGTATGTACATAAATATATGATTATGAAAAATAAATCCATTAATTTTTCGCATCAAACCAAATTCCGAGTTCCCAGTTTTCACTTGCGAGATCTAAACGCTGAAGTCGTTTCCAGCCGAGCTCCTCCTACAATTAGGGGTGTATTTCGTGATGTTTTGTTTTAGTGCAGAAATTCGATCCACTTCTAATGGACATCCAGCCTATTGAATTTGTAGTACATCAGATGACTGTCAACACACTAAATTTACTAAAAAACAGTTATCTTTTCTCCCAAATAGTGCAGCTTGCTACACTGTAGCCTTTATGAGGCTTATTCTCGAGGGTAAAGATTGTACAAGTGGCACTAGATTTGATGGCGGAGTGCAATGGAGTGTGTGTTGGGAGACTCTTACTCAATTTACTTGATTATCGTATCGTATCAGAAATATTCGCTATAGTGGACGTTGCAAAACGCATTGGAATAGTATCAGAAAATCAACTACAGTCAGGCAACAGCCAAAGCTGCAGTCTTGTAAGCGAATAATATTGATATTACACATATACACGTATATCTTTAGGAGATGACTAAATCAAGCAGATTGTCACTTATTTCCGTACCTGGCCAGAGTTACCTGCCGTTCCTGCAGGAATGACGAGCTTGGCAAGGTATGACCAGGCAAATCCTTTCAGATTTACCTTTGAATCATATAAGGAATTCATTTGTAGATAGGCGAGGTAAAAGTCGAAGAAAAATGATAAATATTTGAAAGATAATTGGTATGTTGACGTGATACTTCCTTTAAAATTTTGTTTCTTTTTGGTAAAAGTTTAAAAACGAAATATGTACATTTGGGGTGACCATAATCCACAAGTCATTACTGATATGCCATTACATACACAACATGCTGTTGGTGTGGCCTATAAGTGGAGCTAGTTTTTCACATTTCTACCAAAATGAAGGCGGTCATAATGTTACCGTGAATTGAGAACGCTACTGAAACATGATTTCTGACTTTTGCGTGCTTGAATTGCAGGATGTTGATATGGCTGATTTTTGCTTCCAACAAGAAGGCGCTACGTGCCATGCAGCCAACGAAAAATTCAATTTATTGTAGAAAAATTTAAGTGAGCTCATTAGCTCGCTTCCTGGTTCTCTGGCTTGGCCTCTAAGATTGGGCGATTTATAACCGCTGGGCTATTTTTGGTGGGGTTAAGTGAACTGGCTGATCTACTCAGATAAGCTTAATCGTCTAGCGGCGGTCGCTGTAAAAAGTACATAATGGCGAACCTCTATCTTCAGTATAAAAATTAAGTTCTTGTCCATAACATTAAGTTAGATGCGTTTAATTTTCTTTGAAAACCATGTGTCTAAAAAAAACTCTTTAAAACGGCAAAGAAAAAGTCTAGTTGACTCTATCTGATAATGTTGCAAAGACTACAGAAATGATGAGGAGGAAACGATGATTTTCCAAATTCCATGCGATTACACTTGAAATCCAATAAAATAAAAAAGAAGCCGTGTAGTGAAAGCCGTGTATTGAAAGCCGTTTCAGTGGAATAATAAGGGGTCTATTTCGGCCCAAGTGAAAATCGGTCCTGCGGTTAAGAGACGTCAATTCGTTTTACTTGAAATAGTATAGCGAGGTCTTTTATATATTAGATATCTTTTATAAAAGTTCCTTCCAGGATTATGTAGTTAAATTCTCCATTAATTAAGCCAGGATTCGTCAGTTATATTTGTACGAAATTCATTGCGTTCCAAGAAGAACTAAAACTGACAAAATTCAAAGTCTTTATTTAAAAATTGATTTGAATTTTTAATCGAAACGTAATTTTTACTTTACACAAATTTTAGAAAGCCACAAAAAAGATTTAAGTAGTTGATTAAATGAGTTAGCAAAATTTTGCAGGTAATATATGGAATGTTAGAGAAGCGATAAATTTTTCGGTAGCCACTAGGAACAACTGCATAGATTATTTCCGAAGAAAAATGTTTAACGACGACCTAAAAATACTCACACTAACTGCAGCGCTGAATCTTTTTGTTTGACTAAATTCTGCCAGCGCGAAGGACTTGTTTCATTGCGTTTTACGCTTAACTCACAATCCACATAGCTTTCACTGAATAGCACAATAAATGTTAATATTTTCAAATAATATATACAGTGTGTAGACATTTCAAATAGTCTGTTTTGCACACTAATACAAACACAGCACAAAATTTACCAAAATTCATGAATTCACTCCTTTTGATAATAAATTAGTTACTTTCTTTTTTTGTTATAGTCCGTTTATATGCTTATGATAAGAATATTTCACTAATTGATAGTGTTTGAGATTAAAATAATTTTCATTTGGTTGTAGTTGGTTGGCCATTGACACAACTACAGGTAATCTCACGTCCTCTCGTATTAGGTTGCAATGGATCACAGTTACATATGTATGTGTTTATATATAAGAGGGTATTTTGTTTTTATTTTTTCATCACGGCTTTACGCTTTCACTTGCTTGCCACACGCTCGATCTCGCGGCGACCAACTCGATTGGCCAATTGTTCACGTACTACTGAGCGTATGAGCGCCCTCTAAGTAGCGTATAAGGACATAAAATCCCAGCGGGTTATCGCTATATAGTGGTACAAAATTATGTTTGGCATGAATAAAATTGAATATCTATATTTTAGTAGAATTTATTTAATTTGTATGTGAATTAAATGCGCATACATCACTGTGCAGCGTGAGAAATTTGCGTCTGCGTGTCTGTTCGCGTTTGTAGTAAAAAATATGTGAATGAAAACAATAATATTGCGTTTAAATGATAAGAAGGGAATGATATGTATTGGTTTGCGGAAGCAAGATACTAGCTGATAAGCATCAAAATCGACTGATAAATAACACTCACACTCATACTCTACACACACGCGAATACATATAAAGCAGCCTATTGAGTGTGAGGGTGAGATTGAAAGCTGGATAAAAAAGTGTATTTTGCTAAGCAAAATTAATTACAAAACATGAAAATATGCTTTTCGTTCAATTTTTCAATTCAATAGTTTTTATTTTAATTTTTATTTTTTTTTGATATACAATATTCAGATATTTTGCTAATTATATTCAGATATTTTGCTAATTATGGAATTTCTAGGTCATTTTGCTTACTAATATTGTTAGATGTTTTCTGGAAAAAATAAATTTTTTTTTTCCGTGTGTACATCTGCTATCGATTTATTTACTGTGTTTATTTACTATAAAAAAATCACCTCAGTTCTGCCGCCAAGTTGTGATAATCCAGAAAATGTCTCTATGCTGTCTATGAATCCGATTATCCGCTAGATAAGCGTTTAGTAATAAAAGTTTGGTTTTTGTATGTTTCTATATATAAAATAATTGCGCACAGTAACCGGTTGTAAAATTGTAATTAATGACAGTAAAGGAGATAAATTCAATTTATCAAACTGCAAGACGAGACTTTTGTTCCACTGATAAAACGACTATGTTGAAAATATCATAAATTATATGCACTTACACATGTTAAGGGTAATATTTGTATACAATTAGTGAAATATGTGACATAGTAGCCACCGCTCCCACAAATACGATTCTCATAAAATTCAGCGCCTCTTTATAACTACGTTATGGCGTGTATACTACCGAACAGATTAAAACCGAATCAAAAGCATGCCAGACGCCTTTCTTTTCTGTAAATTGACGCCAAATTTTTTTTATTTTATATTTCCAATGGAGTGGAATTATTGCTCTTCCTCTGCCTCTGATACTTTCAAAGGTGGACGACAAAAGCTCTCTCTAAATACCCTGAACAATTTCAACCGATGGCCACAATATCCGAGTGGTTAGCATAGCGTACAGCCATTCTGTAGGACAGGGTTTCGAGTTTAGCTTCAACCAACATCAAAAATTACAAAGTATTTTATTATTTTTTTCTGACATGAAAATCACAGTTTCTCATAAAAGTCCATCGGCCTTTCGGCGGAGCCTTGGTATAAGCTATAGGTCTTCTCCTTTGTTGGAAAAACGTCAAGACCCACAACACTAATTGGAGTAGGAGCTCAGCCAAGAATATGTTCAGCAGTTACAATGCCCAAAATAATAGTTTTATATTTCCCCACCGTAGTATATCACACGCACCCAAACTCAACTGTTTAATATTTTCAAAGGAATACCAGCGATTTTGTAATGCAATGCAATATGGCAAACCCCCTTAAGCTCTCGATAACTGAACCCATTCGAAGCCTAAGCGTTCTCAATGCATCAACCGTCTCTTCGTTTGTGGTTGAGCTTTCAGTTTATTTTGTACGTAGGGAAGGGAGTCGATGTGTAGAAGGTCACAATGTCAACTTTTGTTGGATTTGGCTCAACTTTAAACACTTATAAGTCGACTGATGTTTACTTACAAGTTCAGAAGCGTAAATTTACGATTCATTACATTTCACGATGTCACAGTCGGGTTTCCAGGCCTCTGTAACGTATTTTTTAACATTTCTCTCGACTCTCTCGACGAACATTCGACATATACCTTTTCTGAGCGGAAGAAAAATTGTATTGGACCCCATGTGAAATGGTTTTGTTGCAATATCAGTTTGGGTACATTATCAATACCTTCCACAAAAACAACAGATTTTCGACGACCTTTACGAAATTCGTATTGCAGTTATCTACGAACTCGATTGAGTTCACCATACCATTGATAAGCACTCGTACTTAGTGGAGCTGCAACGCCGATACTAGAATTAAGTTCATCGTGCACTGTTGATGAGTTAATCCTTGTTGGAAGGTGTAAAAAATAATCGTGCGAAAATGTTCTTTATTTAACTCCATTTTTGAGACGGTATGATTATTTTTAGTTACTGTAAACAAAACAAATAGCGCTCGCATGTGAAAACGTTCCGCTCGTGATAGCCTTGGCGGAATGAGTAAGTATAATAGAATTTTTAATTATTTATCTTTTATTTTCTTACATTAAACCCCGTAAACTGCCACTTTTCTTGAAATAAAACACACGATTTTCAACATTTTTTGTTTCTTCATCATTTAATATGTTTTATCTGCTTTTGTTTTTGAGTTCTAGTCATTCTCAATTCTTTGTTTTTGCGCCATCTATTATTAATATATATATATATATATATATATATATATATATATATATGTATATTACTTTCGCTTTCCCTACTGTCGCTAAAACTTACATATTTAGTTTTTTACACTCTTTAATGTTTAGTTTAAATTTATGTTATTTTTTCTCTGTTTGCGTTTTTTATTGTATTAATTTTTTGCATTTCATAAATTAAAATACGTACAATGGTTCGTAATTCTTAGATTTTGCAAATTCCAAAACTTCATCAGACCAAAAAATTGTAGTTTTGCAAGTTTACAATTGAGTTTCTTTTTTTGTTTTGAAGAACATCAATATAAGTTTTTAATTATTCTTAATTAATTTTTTTTTTAATTTTAATCTTTTTTATTACCTTATTCGTTTGCAAAATTATTTTAAAATCTTCATTTTCGAAGCGTCTAATTTTTTTTTATATTTTTAATAATTTATTTTATACTAATTTCTTATATATTTATTTTACAGCAATAAATATTTTTTCTTATTCTGCTTAATGATTTAGGGTGTTTTAAAATGCAATAATTACCACATAATTAATTAACTTAATTAAATTAAGCAAATAGAAGTGCCCTTCCTTCGAGAATAAAACAGCATTGCAACAATTTGTTTGCTGGGCGAAAATCGATATTTTCCTAGTTGAGTATGGTTTTTACGCTCTTTACGCCTAGATGTAGGCAATAATTTAAAAATAAATTGAAATCTTATGGTTTAAAGACAAGTGAAGACAGTATAATTATTTTCGGGGATAAAAATATAATTGAAAAGCTCCCATGTCTGTATTAAGTATTTCCGCCTATATGTAGGCAATTTTTTTTTACAAAATATTATGTTTGACTGACGGCCGCAATGGCTAATGTGCCAGCTATGCCGAATGTTGATTTGTCAGGTCAGATTTGTCCTGAGTCTTGGCCTGAGTAAACATCAAAATTTATAGAAAGTTAATTTCCAAAATAATTTTTCTGATTGTGCGCCGCCCCTCAGTCAGCAGGGAATGTGAAGAAAATAGTTCTATACGCAGACCACAAATTCGAGTATAAACTCGGTGGAATAATAAAAATAATTTTTTAATATATTGTTCCGAATCGATTAAACATTTTACAGTTATTAACACTCGGCGAGACATTTAATGCCCTACTAACTCTTAATTACAGAAGCTGAGCGGCTTAGCACAACTTTTGCGCCTAGAGGTAGGCAATATTTTTTTTGATTCATATAAACAATTTGTTTACTAACCCAATGTGCAAGTGAACAAAGTATTAGTTAGCTGATTGTGAGTTCGTATGTTGCTCAGGGGCGAATATAGTGTTTTTTTCTATTTTTTCTTCCTTGCAATAAAATTTCACAAACTTTTGTGTTCATACGTAGCAGTTTATAATACCATCCCAGCATCTATTATATCTGTATCTTACATTATAGTGCAAACAAAAATGTTTCTGAACGCTTCTGATTTCGAATTGCAACTGTGAAGTGCCTAGATATATGCAACATATTTTATTAAACCCTCTTTTATTAACTATAAGCAAGTAAGTTTAATCAAATTGATTTTGCTTCCAAAAGACTGCAAAGAGAAAATTTACTAACAAAATGCACAATATTTAGTCCTTTAAAGCCAAATGAATTTATTTTTTATTACCGTATATAAATATTTTCATTTAAAAGCGCAGCATTTTTTACAACTAAATTATATAATAATTTTCGGAAAATATTCTACACTAAACTATAGGTATGTATGTATTAGATATGAGTGCGTTAACTTATCGCTATATGCAAATATATTAATTTATGTATACGAATACTTATTTATATATTTATATACTAATTAAGTTTAAATACAAATAAAAATACATAAAGTAAGTTAGCAGTAATTTAGTGATTTAGTGGAGTGTCAATACCATAATCTGGACATTAGGGCACGCGCATTTTACTAAGCTATATTTTACACGCGGAAACACACATACATACATACTTACGCATACACACTTAAACTATAAGTTACAATATGGAACTACATACAATTATTATTATTATTTATTAATATTAGCGTTTGGTAAGTGTCATTACAATACATTGCATTTATTAATTATAATTAGTTGTTGTTATTATATTTCTTCTCCTCTTTTGCGTATTGTGTTCAAATAAATGCTGCTGGTTACCCGTTATTCTCTTGCATTTCATTGCTACATAGAAAACGTGGTGCTTTTCCTTTCGTAAGCCACCTGAGCGCTGCTACAAATATACATACATCCATACATACAATTACACGGAGGGTATCAAATTTTGCTTACTGCGCTTATTGCATCTCTGCATTTTGTAATATTCAAACATTCAAACTTAAATACTAATTACATTTTATTTATTTATTTATCGTTGAATTTTCAATTTCGAATTTTAATATTAAAAAATTTTAATTTCATTAAATTATTTTCCTTTGATTGTGTTTTTTATTTTTTTGCATATTTGCTTAACTGTATTAGAAATATATTAGTTGCAGTTAATCGTTTAACATTTCCATGTCAGTCGCTCCATTTTATTGTATTTTACACACTTAAATAAATATATATATGTATTTTTTTATATATAGTTGTAAGTGTATGTTATTAACATGAAACATTTCCCATACAGCGACCGAGCACGAAAGCACTCATCAGCGGGTGAAAGAGTGAGAGAGAGAGAGAGAGAAGGAGTGAGGGGTATTTGTAGAGTAACACAGCAACGGTTTCAATGGTATTTTCATTTGTCTATTTTTCTGTAATTCTCACATTTTTTATTTATATATTCATTTATTTTGTGCTTTGTTTACTATTATCTTGAGTTTGTTTTTTATCGCTTTCTTGTCACCGCCATGTGTTGTTATTGAGTAGTTTCACTTTCAACATTTTTATTAATTACTTAATAATTTTATTCTCTTGCTTTTATTCTCTACTTTATGTATTTTCTTTGTTCGTTTTATTTACTTATATTTCTATATATGTGTTCTTATTTATTTATTTACAGGTGTGTTCCTCGAGCACTTTCACACAGACATCACATTTGACCTGGCAACACCAGTGGAATTTGCAATTGCATCTCTCTCGCACAACAATATTTTTGGTGTTGTAGCCTCGACCGCAACATAAAATACCGCAACCATCCAAACCGGATGAGGTCTTGTTGCAGATGCGACCATGAGTGCCTGGGAGTGATTTGAAAAGAATACAATTAATTAAACGTCTGATAAATAATGAAAAACATAAATATTTGTATGCACATATTTTATATATACTGTAATAACTACAAATAAAAATTATCGAAATTTCCTTTTCAACATTAAAAAAAAAATTAACAATTTTTTTCAAAATATTTTCGATAAAAGTGAAAACTAACCCCTTTTTTAACATTTATTTTCAGCTTAAAGCCACTAAAAATAAGTAAACAAATGAACAAAACTAAAAATTAAAATATATAATATTTGATTAATTATTAAAATTCATAAATAAAGTTAATATTAAATTAAAAGCCTTTAATAAAAAGTAGTTAAAAAACTAATAAAAATAAGTAATTATAAATTAGTTTTTCTCAAGCAGCTTCTCAAGATAGACACACAAAAAAAATATATATATATAATTTAATTAGTATATGCTAATTATAATAATTTTTAAATAATTCTTCAATTACTGTTTTTATAATTTTTAAAACTTTAAATTTCTAAGCAAATAATCTGTAAACTTCTTCCCTCCATACAGCTTCACTATGAAAAAATTTATATATAGTACATATATTAAACTTCCTTCTCACCTGGCCACTGCAGCTGTCGACTATTGCGACACCAATCGGGACTTTCGTCAAGATAGACTAAATCATGCGCCGTTGGCACCTTAAATTGTGCATCCTTAACCTGTAGGCGTCCACGTTTATTGAGTTTCACCTCAGTGGACTCTTCGTATTTTTCGCGTAAATAATCACCTGTTAAGCAGAATTGTTTTAAACTTTCACTGGCAAGGTAATTTGTTTATTAAAAAAATATTAAAACTATAAAAATTGAACTAATGTTATAATAAGAGTTTTCGTAAGCCAAATTATTTGTTACAAATATCAAGTAATTACTATATGTACAGTAGTTTGTAATTTATTCACTTCTAATCGATGCCTGCGACATCTTTGCACTCGTTCGACACATTACAAGATGGTAAAGCAGTGAAGCAAATGTACACACCAAACAGAGGTAAGGAAGTTCAATGTAAATAAATTACATGGGCTCTGTTGTTTAGCAGCGCTGTTACAGAATATCAGCTCGCAGCTTACAGTGAGAGCAATACAGTTGTAAGAAAATTTTTTTATTTTATTAATAAATTAATCAGAATTTGTGTTGAAAAAGAATATTATAGAAAGCATAGAAAATGAATTACTTTACCAAAAACTAAAACAAAAATAAGCAAAATAGTTTATGCTTCACATCCATCGTTTTGAAAGATGTTTGCTTTTGAAAACTATTTCAGCATATTGAAGTTTTGTGGTTTTTTCTTCACAAGCATCGAAAAGATCGAGTTTTTCGTTGTCTTATGTACTCCAACAAGATTTCGGGAATATCATTCTCAATTTTCATATGGATCCGTATAAAAGTTTTTGAGATTCAGCCTTGGCTTGATGTGAGCTCAAAGGTAGGTACGCTCAGCGCATTAAACTTTAAACGGGTTTTGGAAAAAGTTGTTTTTTGAAAGTCGGTTACTCATTACTCATTCACAAGGAGTTTCACGAGGGATTTCTTTTAATCAAAAACATTAAATAATCAACGCTGACACATTTTTTCCGAAGGGTCACCGTAAATGACATCACAATGACTAAGGGAATAAATTTTGTTAAGAACCCAGTACCCTCCATCCACAGCTCAAAAATGTCTATATTTGAATAAAAATTATTGATTTTTTTCTTATCTTACCAATTTCTCTAATTGATGAAAGCTGCTGCCAGCAGGTGATTAAGCTGCACGACCCAGAAACACCGTGGCATTTACATGTGATGCGCGTTTTCTTGAGGACAGCCTAAAATAAAATAAAATTGAAAAGTTAATATTAAAAAGGAAACACATTTTTTTTTTAATTTTTTATTCAAATTGAAAATATTTCTTATTAAAAATTTTTTTTTAATAATTTAAAAGTGCAGAATTAAGCGTTAGGCTTAAATCACCAGCTTTCGAGACTCCATTTTGGCAATGTGTTGTAATTACAGCCTGTGTGAGCAGTTAACTGATTACTTAAAAACATCTTTTTCGAATCATTTCCAGCGAAACCTACGAGGTGTAATTTGTGGAATGAGCGAACACAAGTTCGCCGAAAAGACCTCTGAGAAGCGGACTGGCGGAAGACCTTGCCGAGAGCAGTTGGGTCATGACTTGAACCGAAATATGAAACAGTTTTTGTGGTAAAAAAAAAAATAATGGCTCAAAATGGGTTACTTTGACCACCAATTTGGTTCTAGGAGACAAAAAAGACACAGGTTGATATATCGAGCGAAAAAGACGGTTGTTGCACCACAGCGATTCCTTTAGAGGCCAAAAACAGGGACACGCTGAAGGCGATGTGGCACGGCACGTTATCGTGATGGAGGATCCAGTTGCGAGACTCGATTCATCGTCCAGAACAATATTAAATTCTTTGTTAATGATAATTGATTTAAAAAATTTCAGTTTTTTTCAACGAAATAAAGAGTGATATGTATGAGAAAAAGGTGTACACTTTCTTTTGACGCTGACTGTATTATTTCCCCAACAATAAATTTAGGCAGTCACGCTATAAGAAGTGAGATTGTCTGAACGCACGTTTGGTATCGACAGCACAAATGTACACAAAAAGGCGTAGAGCCAGTTCCTTTTCCCTCAGTCCGAGGCTGCTTTCAAAGAGGGGATGTTTATCAGAACTGTTTTGGTAGTATTTGTTGGCAAATTGTTTGTTTATTTTCAAGATATAAAGCCACACAGATAAGGTTCAAACAGTTTGTTTCACACAACACTCTCTAAAGTAGTAAAAGTAGGCATATGCCACGGTATCTGACGCAGACTGTATGGGTTAGGCAAAGTATTAGACTTAAATCGTCTGATATGTTTAACAAATACTTATATATAAAATTAGCACCTTGTAACCGCTGAAGCGATTTTCGGCCAAGCTCCTCCTCCAATTTATGCTTTGCTTCTTGATGTTTTTCCCATAAAATAGAGGGACCTAAAGTTTATACTAAGCCCACTCCGAACGGCTGTAGGCTTTCTAACGAGGAGCTTTTATTTCATGTCCGAAATACACTCGGAGGGGTGAACATTCCCTGCCGAGGGGCGAACGCAATCAGAAATTTTAACTTGAATTTTTTTTTTGATTTAAATTCATTTTCATTCACTGTTATTTTGGATGTTGGTCGCACGAGATTTGAACCCGTGCCTCCAGAATGTCAGTACTCAATGCTAACCTAAAGATTCTTTATGATGATTTTTTATACAGATAAATGTTGTGCTCGACAGAGTAGACTTTTTACCACGCGACTATCGTAACTCTAAGTGAAGCGAGTCCAAAAGGGGTAAAACTACAGAGCATACATACGTATATGTATGTAAAATTTATGTAGAAAGTGGGAGAATAAGTAAATAATAACAAATCGCGCTCCTTCAACCTGTACTCTGGTAAGTAGAAGCGAACTGGTACTATTTCTTTCTAAAATAAACTAGTTCTGAACTAGAACTTTCACAAACCAGTTCAACTTTTCACTGCGATATTCTTATGTATATTCTAAAATACTCATATACCCTTGCTTATATGTACTTAGATACATATATATGTATATATATGCGAATATTTACGTATTTACGTCTGAATATTTTCAACGTTTTTCCGGTTTGCTCCAGAATTCAGTCATACAAAGGAATTGCTCATATTTCCTGCTACTTAACGAAATAATTTGAAACCTTGCCACAAAATATATGTACAAATATATGTATGTATGTATGTATAGGTCTGTATGCCGCTGTATGCATGTGGTATGTGAGTATGCGAACATACACTTGCGTGAAAAATAAACCTCACACGAAAGTAGTAAACAGACATAAACCAAGTGAAGTAAAAAATATTGAAAATAAATAACAAAAAAAATTATTAAAAGAAATGACAAACATATGAGGTTATATATTGTACTCCAATGACTCTGTGCCGTTAGTAATGTGTTCGCTTATATATGTACATACAAACATGGGTATGTACGAGTATATGTGTATGCACTTGTGTATTATAAAAAATGAATTGAATTTGCGATTTGTGTGTTGGCATTTGGCAATGTAAACTAGCACTTATTGCTGCCACTGCAGCTGCCGCATGCCATATTAGTTGTTGTCGTTGACAACAACATCTAAACGTATATGTACATACACACATATTTAATATATGTTTGTATGGACGCAGTGTTGTTTTGCTGGCGCTTCTTGGACCAGCAAAAGCTAATAACAGTCACAAAGAATATGATGGGGTAAGAAACAATACGCAGTAAACGAGGGGCTTAACAAAAGTTCGATAAGCTGATTAGGAAAAATATTCTTTTTGTATTTATTTGTAATCTTGGGTCCTCTTCTGAAAACAGTGCTCGAAATGGTGCTTTTTATTCTTATCCAATTCAGCATTAACCGCATTAATATCTCCTCGTTGCTCTTAAAGATCTTGCCTTTTAAAAGTTTTTTATTTTTAAATTTTGGAAATAACTAGAAATCACAGGGGATATATATCAGGGGAATAATGTGATGGACGAATTTTCTCGATCCCAGAGTTCGCAATAAAATTACGCGTCATTTCAGCAGTATGGGAATGCGCATTGTCATGAGGTAAAAAAGTCGCGCAACAAATCCTCTTTCTTCCTGTTTTCCAACAAATTTTTGAAAACTTTTGGCAAGCACTCACCGGCGTACCATTTTGCAGTTACTGTCTGAGCTTCTGACCCGTTCCTAGCGGAATAGCTGCTACGATTTCAGATCGAGTGCTGTTGATTTTTGTTGCTTAGGTTTTACGGGTGGGCTTATTCTTGTTGGGCTCCATATCATGAACTGCTTTTTGGTTTCTAAATCGTTCTTATAAAACCGAGATTCGTCACCAGTAAAAAAGTCGTAATTAGACTGACCATTCTCGAATTCATTCAAGAAAAATTAAGCAAAATGCATTCGAGCCTCTTTTTGAGCCTCATATAAAATTCGTGGTACCCTTCGACCATGTTTCTTCCTGTATCCAGGATGATTACTTAATTTTCGCGATACAGCCATGGCATTCAAGCCAAATTTATTAGCAATCATTTATTTTGTCAATCGTTGATCTTCGTCAGGTTTGGACTTCATCAACGCTACAGTGATGTCATCAGTGGAAGATTTTGTTTGACTTTCTAAGAGCTCGTTCTCTGTGGAAAATATCCGGTCTGGAAATTTCAGAACCACTTAGAAATAGTCTTTAAAGACGCCGAAATCGTTCTATTTGCCATTCACTGAATATTTGTATTGGCTGTAAATTACACCGCAACCCCAAGAGGATCACATTGAGAATTTCCGTTTGCGTTGGTGGTGGAATTTCGTCTGACCTAACCTCAACTATCTTGCGATTTCTCGTCTAAGTTTTAGTCGATCGCTCTAAATTTTGAAAGGAGGACTAATAAGGTAATTGCAAAGGATTTGGTATTTTTAGATTTAACAAAAACAAATTGAAAGACAACAACAGACACAACTTTTTTTAATCCTCTCGTACGTATACTTATGTTTGTATGTATTTATGTACGTATGGCTAAGTATGGACGGCGACAAATGATAAGAAGTAGTATAGCATATAAAATGTTGCAGAAATCCCTCTCATTCTGAATATGGAGTGCGGCTTCTACTAGCGAGTCTAGATTGTCTGGCAGCATAAGCAATTACATACATACATACATACATGTGTACATACTTAGAGGGAAACATCAAAACAAGTGCTGTTGTGTCACAAAAAAGGCAAAGAAGGTACTCAAAATTGATGTAACATTACAATTGTGTGACATATCAAATGTCAAACAATGAAAACGTACTGACAGCCACAGAGACTGAGACAAAGTCTCGCTGCCAAAAATTAAAAAAAAAGAACTTCAATGGCAACATCACCGTGTGCTTATGCTGCAGCAATGTTGCATTGAACTTTTTTTCTTCAGCAAGTTAGAGCCAAGCGCACAAATGTGAAATTTCCAGTGGCAGCAATTGTGGTAGCAGCAGTAAGGCAACAGCAACAACAACAACAGCAGTGAATAAACTACACCCTCTAAATGACATTTGATGGGTTGTAAAATGTGTGCAAAAAACGCTGCCGGCGTTACGCTGCAACCGATATTTGTCGTCATTATTTCACTGGAAAACAATGAAGAGCAGTGAAAATAACATCAATAAAGAGACTAGAAGAAAAATTGCTGTTGATAAACAAAAAAAAATAATTTTTTTTTAAAGTTGAAAATTTCATCGATATCGCTAGGAAATATAAAACTTTGTATTTTAGTTAGCGCTGTACACACACACATACGCACACACAAACACCGATATAAATTTACAATTATTCGCCCATACGCACATAATCATATTTTAGTAAAAGTAGCGATATTGATTCGCACAAGTATCGAAGCTCCGACATTCCAGCTGCCTTAAAGGTGGAGAATGTGAGAATATTGCTTTGAAAATCAGAGCTAGAGCGAGAGATTACGGTACCGGAAAGTTTCTTTTGGAATAATGTGATATTCGCTCGTGTTGTGTGGCATGTGGCATCGTCTTGTTGAAAGCATATACTGTCGACGTGTTCTGTTCCTCAATTGAAGATCAAAACACTCGGTTCTCATACAACCACAACAGTCTCGACGTCGTCGTCGTTATGACTGGTCAGCTGGCTTCAGTTGTGTATGGATGCAAGTGTAAGTCCAAGTGAAAAAATCTCTCGCTAAAATTATATACTGAGAGGCCGACGGGAAAGAAAAACTTTATGGATAGCTTTTTCGTGTGTCACGAATGGAATCTAGTAGA